GCCGGCAGTATCCGCAGGGGAAAATAAGGGTTTGGGTTGCAGCTGGAGGGTCACGCTGAGACCCTAATCTATACGGATGAGTGACTCTCGCCATAGTGTACGCGACATGTACAATCTAGATCTATGCCAAGACCTATGTCAAGCAAGTCAAGCAAGTCTCAATCTACGGCTTGACTTGATTACTCATAAAAACCTGGCCGACTTGACTTGGTGACTAACCGCATTTGGATCAAGTCAAGCAAGTCAAGCAAGCCGGACTTGCTTGTGGCCACCTCTGGCTGAGTTCGACCGGGACATTTGCGAAGGCAACCTCCACCAGCATTGCTTCGTACCAAACTACCTCAACCAAGACTACTGCCATTAACACGATGCCAGCAACGACTGCGACGAAGACCAAGCCGTAGGAACCAGCCAAGGCAGAACATGCTACCGACTCGTTCCGTGGTAAAACGGACCTGACGACATGAGCGAGGTACTTTCCGTACATAGATTACTTGGTGGCTTGATGAAGCATTGTTGAACTCGAGTCGGTGCATCAGAGAAGAATCTATCTCAATGTGATGCCTTTGTTGGATCTTCAATACAGTATCGATCAGTATCGATGTGTACCCCTCCCGCTGATTCGTATTTTCCTGCTGTGACCTTACGACCTCCGATGCTTGTAATGAAACTCTTGCCATCTAGGGCATCTCGGCATCACCAACCGCTGACCAAGCGTGTCGCCGGGGCAGAAGCTGCTCGACATTCCTTGCAGGTGGCCGTGGCGAAGGTGTGTGCGCGCCCTCCCTGCCCGGGACCTACAATAGATGGCCCAGCGCACCCGTCGGGTCAAGACGCGACGTCTATACATCTGGGGAATGGTGTTGCTCGGTCATTTGGCGCATATCCATGCCCGTTTGATCGGCTGCTGTTGCATAACCCTGTATAATTTTCATCGTTCACCAAACGCAAGTCGACGTCGGTAAGCTTTGGCGGTAACCCTGGGCTTCATCATTGACCAACAGCTTTCTCGACGTGCCTACGAAGTCACGGGGATGCTTGAAGCATCACGACAAACAAGCCTACAATCATGAGATGGTTATGTATGAGCGAGTGAACGACGACCGCCAGACTACCGATATATCCAACCATGCCATCAGCTATCTCTCCCAACCCACCGAGAACCATCCTCATCACCGGCGTCAGCAGAGGTACATATGCCACCACATCCCCACGCAAGAGAAACGAAACAAAAGAGCCAACCCCCTAATCGAAAACACCTCTCCAGGCATCGGCAGGGGTCTCCTCTCGACCTATCTCCTCCGCGCCAACCACACCCTAATCGGGACAATCCGCCCCTCGACCTCCACCGACCACATCTCCACCCTGCACTCGCTCCCCCTCGGCCCGGGCTCCAAGCTGATCCTCCTCTCCCTCGATTCCGCCGATCCATCCGACCCCAGCAAGGCAATCCAAGAACTGCAATGCACGCACAACATCACGCACCTGGACATGGTGATCGCGAACGCGGCGATCGCGCCGGACCCCGCGCCCCTGGAGGTCATCGCGCCGGGCGATCTGACGGATGCGTACCGGGTGAACGTCGTGGCGCCGGTGTTGTTGTATCAGGCCAGCAAGCCGCTGCTTGAGAATGCGCCGGGCCAGTCGCAGGCGATGTGGGTGACGATTTCCAGCGTCGCGGGGTCCGTCAGCAAGATTGAGGAGTTCCCCGTGACGAGTCTACTGGCGTACAGCGCGAGCAAGGCGGCGGCGAATTGGTTTACGGTGTGAGTAGTGCTGCCCTTTTCTCTACCTCCCTTCTCTCTTCGACCTCATTTGACATCTGCCCCCGCCCCTTCCCTCTTATCCCGTCAGCTTTCCCCAACCAGATCCCAAAATCCCGCCAGGGACTAAACACCTGTCCACAGAGCCGTGCACGCCGCCAACCCGAGCTGGATCGCCACCGCCATCCAACCCGGCTTCGTGGCGACGGACATGGGAATTGAGGGGTGTAAACGGCTCGGTCTCCCGCCTCCGCCGGATAGCATTGAGAAGAGTATCGCGAAGACGGTCGCTTTTGTAAGTGTCCCCTCTCTCTCCTCCCTCAATATTCATGGGGGGTTCGTAATAGTTTGCGCGTGAAACGAGTGTGGGATTCTTGCTGATGTGAGCGGTTGGGTACCATCTTAGTTGGACCGAGCGACCCGGGAAAACGCGTCGGGGAAATTATACGATGTGATCGCGGAGGCGGAACTCCCCTTCTGATTCCGATCGGAGAGGGAGAGAGAAGAATGATCTCGGGGAGGGACGTGGGCCGGGGCGGGAATGAAAGACACAAAAGGCCCGTCTGATGAACCCCCCTTTTTAAGAAACCGGAAGCGAAGGTGAAGAATCTTCGTCTTTCTTTTTTCTTTCTCTCCCACTTTCTATCCCTTCCCAAATAAAGAAATCCTTCAAGAAAGAAAGAAAGAATACAAGTTTTCCCGCTCCCCATTTCCATCATGCAAAAAAGAGAAGTAGAAAACAACCACGAAATCATCCCTCCAACCTCCACTTCCGCAACGGCAGTCCCTGCAACCTCAGCGCCGCAGGTTTGATAAAGCCCCAAAACGTGATCACGCCGAAAACGACACACAGGACATTCACGATATAATAGCCGTCGCGCTCCATGGAGCAGAGGCCACCTCCCGCGGAACAGCGGTGTTTGTCGACTTCGGCGACGCAGGAGAATGGCGCGGTGATGAGGAGACTGGAGTCTTTGAGATCCAGCGGCGGGGTGAGAGGCGGGTGGCAGGTCGCGCTCGTGAAGGCGTCGACGAAGCGCAGGATGAAGAAGCGCGGGAAGGTGCCGCCGAGGTTCGACATTCTGATGGGGGAGAAAGAAAAGGTTAGATTGGAGATTCCTTTTTTTCTCTTTCTTGGAGAAAGAAATGTTTGGTAGAGGGAGAGAGGGGGAGGGCAAAAACTTACGTCGCGAGAAGAGTCATGTACGTCCCCCCGATAGCCGGGTCCGAAATCTTGGCATGGAAGGCCGAGATGGAGACGAACATGACGGTGTTCATAAAGGTCGAGAAGACGTGCTGGATGATGACGACGAGGAGGTAGGAGTTCGTGGTGCCGGTGGCGGTGGGGAAGAACATGACGACCAACATGGAGAAGACCGCGGCGAGGAGCCGGCCAGTGAAAGCGGTGGTCCAGACGTTCATGGGCTTGTACTTCTCACTCCAGGTCCCCGCGTAATAGCCCAGGAGCATCTCGAAGGGGAAATCGATGAGCACGGTCAGGGCGAGATCTTCCTGGCTGAAGCCCTTGTCGAGGAGCTTGAGGTTGGTGACGGCGTCGTTGGCCTGGAAGCCGATTTTGGCGATGAGGTGGATGACGATGAAGATCTGGATGTTGGGCAGCTGGAGGATGCCGCCCATGGTTTTGTAGACGGAGAGCAGGCTGTCTTTGTCCTTGCTGCGTTCCTCGCGTTTGAAGAGCGCCAGGCCCAGCGTCACGATGAGGTAGACCCAGCCCCAGAAGGTGAGATATGAGTTGAGATTCAATAGTCCGGTGGAAAGAGGCGTGGAGCGAAAGTATTTGTTGGCAAAGTCGGAGGAGGAGAGGGCGAGGAAAACGGTATATGAAAGGAATTGGCCTCCGGTGAGGCCGACGGTCTGCGCCGTACTCGCGTAGGATAGATTGCTCGGAGAAAGCAGCGTGAGGGCCCAGCCTGTGCAAAGCAGAAGAATAATCGTGTCAGTAAGTTCCTTCCTACGCGCGATGGGCAATCGACGCCAAAAAGAAATTCTCCTATTTGAAGAGACTCACCGTCCACTGCGATATCCTGCGTCGCACACATGAAAACCAAAGCAAACCACCACCCGGTAAACCCCCAGACGCCCGCGCCATTGTCCGCCCCAGCCTTGACCATCATGCTCTCGGCATGACCGCCCAACCACAACATGCCCAATCCCGACATCATCTGGATGGGCAGAATCCAACTCTTTCTCCTCCCGACCTTCTTACTCCACACGGCATCCACGATCGGACTCCACAGCAGCTTCAGACTGTATGGATATGACGCGAGCGAATAGATGCCGATCTGCGCGTAGCTAAGATGCGATTTGAGCAAGAAGGGCACACTCCCCGTGGCGAGACCCATGGGGATGCCCTGCAAGAAATACAGCAGCACGAGGAGCATGAAGTTCTTCCGGTCCTGCTCGGGCAATTCGAAGAAACCCTTTGCGCCGGCGCCGGCGCCGGCTGCATCTTCGCCGTGGCCGTCCTTCTCCGGTTTGAAGGACGGCACGGGGGTATCGAGGCTGAAATTGTCCCGTCCCATCAGCCGCGCGGTGGCATCGGCGGAATCCTCGTCGGGGATTTCCAGCGAATGGGCGTTATGTTTCCGGCGTTCGACGAAGGTGTTGCTCATGATGTCGAGGGTGGCGGCGGAGGAGGAATCGGATTGGGAGGTGGTGGATGCGGAGGATAAGGAGCCGTTGGGAGTGTTGCGGCTGGCGCGACCCCTGGGATTCGGCGATCGGGACTTTGCTTTGCGGTGGGTCATCGGAGGAGGAGGCGACTTGCGCTCGAGGATGGCGGGTCCTTTTTTGAGGATTGTTTGAGCGTTGTCTCTTGCTCTTGAATTTGTATAGTATGCGCGTATCCGATTTGACGGTGGTTTTTTGGTATGAAAAAATTGGTGGAAATTGGATCTCTCGTGACCTCTTTCCGGATCCTCGATAGTTTGCGTCGATGCGTCAGGAATTCGCGTGCTGGCTGCTGCTGCGGTTTGCGATGAGCGAAAAGAAAAGGCCGTTGATGAAGTTCGTGAGAAGGTGTTTCTTCCAAGGAGCGTAATGTGTGTATGGTGAGAGAAGAGCGTGAATATATATGTATATAGGGAAAGACGTAAGCGGTGGTGGTGGACACGGAATTATTATTATGAACAGTGGAAAAAGCGCAAGTTGCCTTCCTTCTGGCCACGTACGTGCCTAAAGTGGAATGTCTCCGCAGGCGTGTGACATTCCCGGCTGGTGATGATGGTGATGATGATGATGGCGGGCCCAGTCTGCCTTGCCCTAATGAATTAATTGCGGGAGACTTTCGCCTGCCGAGATTCATGGCTGTTCACCAAATCCACTCCCTATATATTGCAAGGGCATGAGAGAGGCCATTCCTCTCCTCTCTCAGGCATGAAATACATGAAGGTCATCGCACCAGGAGAAATATCGAAGCAGGAGAGGAGGCGAATACTGCACACCGAGCAAAACAATGACCTCCCAACCAGCCTAGCAAACAGAAATAGAGAGAATTGGGTCGAATCCGCTCCTCATACGGGAACCAAGACTATCCATGAGGCTCAAGCAGAACAAAAAAGACATTTCTTTCCAAGATCATGACTCAAAAGCAGCAGGAGTTTGAGAGAGGGAAACGTCAAAGATGGTGGAAATACATACGTTACAGTTAGTTAGTTAGTTGGGCGCGAGCAGCGGCGATGACAATGATGAGAGAAAAGAGCAGAGCAGAGCATAGGGGGGCATTCCTGGTAATCCAACAACAGCGACAGTCGACGCGAAAGAAAGAGAACACTCCTTTTTCTTTCCTTCTCCTCTTGTCATGCCCCGGAACCCACGTAAAAGGAAAGAAGCAAACCAAAAAAAACTTTGAAAAAAAAGAAAAGCAAAACCCATATTCCGTCGGCTCTTGTTCATGTTGTGCGTGTGAGAGAGAGTGCGTGCGTGTGTGTGCGTGTAACGAAGGCGCAGAGAGGGGGAATAAACCGGAGCAAAAAAGAGAAGAAAACAAACAAACACAGACCAGACCTCATCATAAAGGGAAAGGGGAAAGGGAAAGGCAAATTCGACCCGAGACCCGCCCCCGGGACGAAAGCATCAGCCGCTTCAGATCATGCCCATCCGGGGCGTCGACCCGCCCTCGCTCCCGTTCCCGGCGTCCTTCTTGCTCGCGCTGGCGGTGGCGCTCTTCCCTGCGACCGCCGCGGCCGCCGCGCTGGCCGCCGGCCCTCTCCGCTCCTGCGCAAGAGCCGCCGAGGGGCCAGCGGCGAGGAGATCGTCATCGTCGTCATCGTCCTCCTCCTCGTCGTCGTCATCGTCCTCCTCCTCGTCGTCGTCATCGTCATCGCCGAGACCGAGGGCGTGGCGCCAATTGGCGATGCTCGCGCCGCCGGCGAGGGCGGACGTCGTGCCCGCGCCGCCCGCCGTTCCGGAAGAAGAGGAAGCCCCGTGGGAGGCGGAAGAGGCACCGCCGGCAGTGCCCCGCTCGAAGTCGAAGCGGTCGCTGAGCCGGTAGTTCTTCGCCGTCTCCCAGTGGCTTCGGAGCGTCTCGAGTTCGTTGGCGAGGGAATCCAGGGCGAGGGAGTTGCGGGCGTCGTTGCCGCTGCCGGAGTTGCCGCCGCCGGAATGGGCGTTGGGGTCGCCGCCGTGGGCGGTGAGCTCCGATGCGTCGTCCTGGGCGTCGTCGTAGGCGGATTCGCCGCCGAGGCTGGTGCCGCGGCTGTGGTGGCGGGAGGTCGCGGTGTCGGCGCTGAGGCCGCGGTGGTGGCCGTTGGCGAGAGGGGTGGCGTGGCCCCCACCGCCGGCGCTCGCGGAGATGCGCGATTGGCGGCGGTAGTTGTCGACGCTGTGTTCGACTTGGTCGAGCAGCAGTTGGACCTTGTCCTCGGCGTCTTTGGCGCGGTGTTCGAGGAGGGAGTTTTCCTTCTGGAGGCGGTCGAGGTCGGCACGCGCGAGGCTGTGCGAGGTCTGCAGGGTGGAGAGTTCCCTGGTCGTGCTGGCGTGGGTGGTGCTGACTTGGGCGAGCTCGGCTTCGGTGTGTTGGAGCTTGCTCTGCATGGAGAGAATTTGGTTCTCGAGGTCGCCGACGGAGCTCTTCAGGCTGGCTTGGACGGCGGCGAGTTCTTGGCGGAGCTGGGCGGCTTCGATGCCGGCGGCGCCGTTGAGGTCGCGGGAGGACTCGGATTCGTCCTTGGCTTTGTCGACCTTCTTTTTGAGGTCGCTGTTCTCCGTCTTGACGCGTTGGAGCTCCTGTTTCAGCTTCGACAGCATCTTTTCTGTACCGCGGAGGTATTTGACCGCGGCCTGGTGGTCGTTGTCGAGCGCGATCAGCTTCTCCTCGTAGTCGCGTTTCATCTTCTCGTTGCGTTCCGACACTTCTTCGTACTGTGCCCGGAGCTCATCGTGGTTCTTTAGACTGGTCTCGTAATTCTGCTCGAGCTCGCGGAAGCGGTGGGGATCAGGGGTGCTGAAGCGAGCGCTGCTCGGTGAGTCAATGGCACGCGATCTTCGCACCTCGGAGGCATTGACTCCACGCTCGCCGAGGATATCCTTCAACGATGCATGCTGCACCGACAATGCATTCGTCTCCAACTTGTGTCGCTCCATCTTCTGTTCGAGCGCGGCCTTCTCGGCCGTGAGGTTGTTGTTCTCCTTCATCGTCGTTTGGAGCTGCTTGCGGATCGACAGACCCTCCCGGCTCGCCTGCTCTTGGTAAGCCTCGAGTCCCGCGATGCGCTCTTCGGCACGACGGAGCTTATCCGTAGCAGTGTCCGCAGCGTTCTGGTTCTGTCGCGCCAATGCATTGGCTGCCTCGACTTGCTCTTGAAGAACCACGATTCGCTGGTCGTTGGCTTGAGACGCATTGACGTCACGCTCCGTGACGTGACCGAGTCCTGCAAGGACAGCGGATCGGTGAGTGCGCGCCTCTTCGGCGTGCGTCCGAGCCAGCTCCTCAGCTTCGCGTAGCGCACGTGTGCTGTTCTCCAACTGGCTAGCATGTTCGGCTTGTTGCGCGTTGAGTTCACGGACGGTCCGCTCGAGCTCGGCGCGGCCGGCGCGCTCCTCCTCCAGTTTCTTCTCCATGAGCTGCGCTTTATCCGAAGAAGCTGCGACAGCATCTTTGAGGGATGCCAAGATCGCAGTATGATTCGAAGTCGCCGTGAGAGCGGTCTGAAACCTCGTGGTCATTTCATCGTGGTCGACGATCAACAGCTTGTGTTTCGATGCAATCTCGGAATGGTCGGCAGTGGCGGCGCGTGCCACGGTCTGGGTCTCATGGAGTTCCGCGCGTAGGTTGGCCACTTCGATCGCGTGTTGTTGACGATGCGCATCGAGCTCGGTGACACGCTTCTGCGCCGCTTCAGCGGTATCCTCCGCAAACTCACGCGCCTTCTTCTCCGCCTCGATTTCCTGCGAGAGAGCTTCATACCGGCGATTGAGTTCACTATGCGCCTCGAGGGCACTCGCCAGGCGTCGGCTGATGTCATCTGTGCGGGCTGATTTGTCACCACCATCTCCGCGGGGACTGCCAGTCTGCCCGGCCAATTTCGCCTTGGCGAAGACTGCTTCGTTGATGGCGACATCGCGCTGCTTCTCCATTTCAGCTATGCGCTCCGCCGCGCTTCGGCTCTGCTCGTCGATCGTCTCCTGCACTCGGCTGAGCTCCGCGCGCATCTTGAGCAACGCTTCCACCAACGGCCGATCGTCATCGTTAAGGCTGCCGCCAGAACCATCATCCAAGATCGGCGAGTCGCGTGACTGATATCCCGATTTGCGAGCGAGCGCCAATTCGGAGGTGAACCAGGCATTCTTCTGTCGGGCCTGCTCGAGTTCTCGCGCGAGGACATCATACTGGTGGGTGAGCGCGGGAGACGATCCGAGCCCGGAATCTTGAGGTCGTTCGTGCTCCTCGGAGATTTTCTGAACCCGCGGGAGTGGTTCTGCGGTATCGATCGATCGACGGGAGGTCTCGAGCGGTTCGGGCTCCGTCCTTGGAGCAGGCGCACGTGCAGCTACGACACCACCGTACGTGTCCGTGGAAGGCTCTGATGAAGGTTGGTAGGTCTCGGGCTTCTGTCTCGAGGCTGGCCGCGGTTGTTCGGCGGCATCGAAAAACGAGTCGTTTTCATAATTCGATGCTGCAGATATCGATGGCTGCGGTGGAGGCGCGCGGAGGTTGTCGGTCGGCGACATGCCGGAACTGTCATACCGCGGCCCGCGCGTGGTCTCGGTGGACGGGCTGAGCGCTCGGTCGGCCGGTCTCGTAGGCTGCCGTGCAGGTGGCACAGCACCGTTCGGTCGGATCTGCCCCGGCGCTTGACCAGGAGCTTGTGGAGGCGGTCCGGTCGGCGCAGGTCGCTGGCCTTGTGCAGACATGGGGAGCCGCGCTGCGTTGTCGGGTGATTTGACCCGATTGCCATTCGCGCTGGTGCTGCGCTCTGGGATCGTTTGCTGTGGCGGTACACGGCTCTGCATCATTGGGCGAGCATTCGCTTCGGTGCTGGGACGTCGCTGTCCCTGCGTCTGGCCTGCCGAGTTCGGCTGCGCATTGTCCGCTGGGTAGCGAATCTTGTTGGTGTCGAGAAAGTAGGCCAATCCCAGCTCGACCGGGTCGCGAGGCGCACTACTAGGCTCGCCCGCCAGAACGACAATCTGTTTTCCGACCGTCGTCATGCTGTGGCCGGATCGGGGGCTGGGGCTGGGTCCCATGTTCTGAAAGGTGTACCAGCGCCTTGAGCTGATGCGGAACGCAGCCAGATCACCGAGATCGTTTCCGTCTTCGGTGCGACCACCGAAGATGTACATGACATCTCCGACCAACGCCGCCGCATGCCCTTCACGCGGAGAAGGGATGTATCCTATGCATTCCAGCTGAGTCCATGAATTGGTGTGAGGCGAGTATGACCAAACATCGTTAAACCAGTGGATGCCGTCTGTGCCTCCGAAGAGATATAACCGATCGCCCCAGGTGACCATGGTGTGGTTGGTCCGCGCAGGCGGAATCTGACCATGTGGCGGTCCGCCGTCGATCGTATTTTGGATGAGGATCTCCCATCGGTTCGTCGCCTGTTGCAGGGCATTAAGGTCGAATGCGACCAAGTCATTAAAAAAGTAACCTTCGACCTGACCGCCGAAAATGTAGATTTTGCTGCCGAGGATATTCAAAGTGTGTCCGTAACGACCAGGGGGTCGAGGTCCGGCGGGTAGCGCTCTTGACCATTGTTTTGTGGCTTTGAAATTAAAGAATCAGTGATTGTGCCGAGCGCGTGATTGCGCGTCAACTTACAGGTGTTCAACAAGTAGAGGGTGTCGTCCAGGAGATCGCCTTCGTCCATCTTGGTGTCTCCGCCAAAGACAATGAATGCGTTTCCCACGAGTAAACTCGCATGCCCGACTCTTGGTCCAGGTCCTTCGCTCGTGGTCGCGACCGGATAGCAGGTCATGGCGCCGGGACCAGCCTCGACCATCCACAGGTCACCTTTGACGGTGCTGCCATTGATAAGACCACCCATGAGGTAGACTGAGCCATCTTTGCTGGCGACTGCGTTCACCGCAGCCCCGTATCGAGGGAACGGACTCGAGTTGATCGCCGCAGAAAATGTCATCTGCCGTTGTGACCATGGGTATGGCGACGGGTCGCCTGGCGGGCGCGCCTGCAGCGGCAAGCGCTGCTGTTGCTGTGCGAGCTGCATCTGGTCGGGTGTTTTGGAGAGAGAGCCGTCTGGACGGGCGGGTCGCACGGGATCACGACCGGAATCGCGCAAGGTCTTCTGCTCTGGACTTGCGGCTGCGCTCCGGCTGACTTCGTCGCGCGACAGCGATGATCGTGGATACTGCGATGGTGAATGCGATTCCTCCCCTGTGCGTGAAGTGGCTCCTGAGCGATCGGCTCCGGAGGGATGATTTGCGCCTGAGCTCACTCCCGAGATTGGCGAGGCCGACTTGCCATTGAACGATGAATGAGCACTGTTGGTACCATCCGGTGAACGGACGTCTCGCGAAGGGGCCGACGTGGGCGCTGGGTATGTTCCTGATCCACCTTTTTTAGTCGCTTTGAACAAGAAGGACATGGCCAGGCGAGAGGCCGTACGATGCGATTTTCAAGATGGACGCAGCTCGATGGGCGCAATCCGTCAGACGTCGGTCCAGTGATCGAGGGTCGTGATGGTGACGGTCGATGGTCAGGTCGCGTCGCAAGGATCTCCTACGATTACAGGGATGCGGAAGCGAGCATCAGGATTGCGAAATGCGATAGGTAGAAACAGCAGACGTCGCCGGTGTCAATGGCGACGAGTCCGGCCGAGCGGGTAGGCCGGCGAGAGGCTGGTCGTCGGGGCGGTGGTGAGAGGTGCGATGAGGAGGAGGAGGAGGAGAAGAGGATGGCGGCCGATGGTGATGGCCGTTGGAGACGAACGACGTCGAGACCGGCCAGGCGGGAGGATGGGCGGTCGATCGGACGGTCGGCGGTGGTCAGTGTGATGAGATGGTGGAGGAGAAGGAGAGAGGAACTGAACTGTCTGGACAGTAGTAACGCTGTCGGCACGGTATGGAATAGTCGATTAGTGTAGCGATGGTGTTCAAAAAAAAAGTTGGTGGTGCTGGCCGTTTCCCTATTCCCTGCGCGAGGTTCGGTTTCCTCTCAGTTCCCCTGCCTTTCCCATCTACAAACGGTATAGAGGCTTGGGGATGGTATGCGGTGTGGTGTGTGGTGTGCGTGCCGTGAGATTGTACTGGATATATCGTGCTTCATTGTAGGATAAAACATGATCAATTGGGTGATGTGGTAACGTACAAAGCATTAAAGTGTTATGTTCGATCTGGGGCATCCTACTATCCAGTGCGATAGACGCTTGGCTGGGTCTTTTTGGCGCAGCCACATCTCTATCCAACCTCCACCAGCACACTCTCTCCGAACTCTCTCTGAACGCTCTCTGAATGCTCTCCTCTCTCTTCTCTCGTCTCTCTCCTGCATATTGTTCCCGCAAAAATGTAATACCGACCCAGATGAGTACAATTATCATATGATGGTGTGGTACCTCTTCTCCGCTATGATGCATGGTACGGCAGCAATCCAACACAAAGGAATGGGACGTGTGCACGTAGCACCGAAGAGAGAGAGAGAGTCTTCAATCACGGGATCCGGGAATGGGGGATTGGGAAATGGATGCGGACAATGGGAGGAGGGCCTCACACTCTTACACACACTACTGTACTGGCCAGGGAGAGCTTACATACTCCAGCATTCACTACTGTGCCGCTACCTGACCTTCGCGGCATTCCAGGGGCGCCGTCCATCGAGAGAGAGCCTCGATACGCTTTTGATTTTACCCTTATTGCGCCACACATCTGTTGCATATATATCTACAGTATCTCTCTCTATACAATTCTCCCACGGCTGGCGTTGACACGTCGTCTATTCATGCCGAGAATGAAAGACGCAGCACGACGAGCAAGAAGACGTTTCAGCAAGCGTGCTTCCCAGAGAGAGAGAAGATCAGCAACGACGGACTCAGCGTCTCTCACCACCGGGAAAAACCCTCATCTGCATGTCTTGCGTGAGTGCGTGAGGACTGACGGAATAAAATCCCAAAAAGGGGCCACGCGACGACCCAATGCGAGACCGGGAAAAGTTCGCGCGGAGAATTGACTCCACGCGGGCGTGTCGTGGGCGACCCCTGAATCTCCAAGTCCCTGGCTACGGCGGTAACCCGTGGACCGGCAGGCGAGCCGTATCGTAGTAGCCGAGTATCGTCTGCACCGGTCCCGCATCGATGATCAGCCAGCCACACTCCCAGCCTCATCCATCCATCCCATTGTTGCAATTGACAGACAGAGTTTAATCTGTCTGTCGGTTCGTATCAGATCCCATCGTCCGTGGCTTTTCGATGTCCAATGGCTCTCTCAGAGCATCTGTACAGCACACGATTTCATACCATAGTGATATGTATGCTTCTCATGTCACAAGGAGAAGAGTCTTCCGGACTGGGCTCCTCTCGAAAATGGCAGACTCTATTTCTCTACAGTAGGTACGTAGAGGCTGGGAAGGGAGAGATGAACTTGACCTCCTTCTCCGCTCTGGATCCACACCACGGAAGATCTTCCCGTCTCGTTACCACCCACAGGACCATCCACTGCGGAACCTCCGTCCGCTCGTTACCGTCCTCCTCACGTGCTCTTGTCGGGGTCGGTCAGAAACATATATATCTTGAGGAGACGCCCGACTGCTGCAGCGAAGCTTTCTCCAAAGAGTATATTCATGTACTCCAGCACTGATAAGTATTTTTTACATGTGACATATGCGATGTTGAACGAGTAGCGGGAGAGACAGCGGACCTAAAAGACGTGCGACTTTGGGAGAGTTGAAGAGGGAGTGGTAAGAAACTGACGATGCGGCCTATAGCCATGCTCGAGATTTCCTCGTCAGACCAGCCAGTCCACTGTCCACTCTTGCCGATTATATTCTACCCGTCCATGCGCCGTGAATCGTCCAGGCACTGAAAATCGATCCTGCTCGAAGCATCCGCCCAAGTGGACGTAAGAAATGTTTCTTCGTTTTATATACAGGTGACGGTCAGATCAGTCGGGGCACTCCAGTGACTTATCAGATCCCCGTTGCGCTGATGACTAATAACCCTATCTCTTTCCAGGATTGTTCAGATGCCTCGTCCGGTGTGACAAAGGCCTGTACACGAAGGACACAGAATCTGTGACTAGCTATGGAGAGGAAATGTTGTCCCGTATTCATAGTCAACTTCGACCGAGCAAGGATGTGCTGATGTTTCGGGAATCTTGGATTTACGGAGGAAAAACGGACTCCGAATTTGGGATATCTAGCCTTTCTCATTATCATCGAAACATCATCTCTCTCTCTATCTCTGTCCATCATTTATATATATCTCGAAGCACAAGAAAACCAAAAGCATGACTTAAATCACAGGAGCATCATTGTCGCATTAATCTTGCCGTCTACCACATCTCCACTGGCACGGTCGCTGCTGTGGTGGGCTGTGGCTTGGCTGTCGTGGGCTCGTTCGGGACATCTTTCGCAGCTTTGGGTCCAGGCTTGGAGGGAGCAGCAGGCTTAGTGGGAGGGGCAGGTTTTGTAGGAGCTGCAGGCTTAGTGGGAGGTGTAGGCTTTGTCGGAGGTGTAGGCTTGGTGGGAGCAACGGGCGACTTGATGGCAGCAACGGGCTTGGTGGCAGCCTTGGAAGCAGACGCGGTCCCGGGCGAAGACGACGAGATCTGAAGGAACGTTCCGTCAACATGCGGCTTCGTCCGTAGGTGACCCTTCCCCTTGTCAGTCCTGACGAGCGTCAAGCTCCAGGCCCGACAGAACTCATCAACGCTAGCCCGGATCGCCCCGGTGCGCAGATATAGCGGGCCGGAGTGATCGATGAAGAGATTCGGGCGTAGCGGGAGGACGCCTTGGGCTGACACTTGAATTCGCTTGCGGAGAGTGGATTCGACGCCGCCGTTCATCATTTTGGTATACTGCTCTGAGTCGAATCGCTCGGCAATATCGCCTTCTGTGCTGCCGCAGTGCAATTTGGTACATGTCGCGCAGGTGGTGTAGCCGAGGCCGAATTTGGTCTCCTTTTGCGTGACCGTGGTCAAGGTGGGAATTTCCTGGGTTGGAAATTCGACGAGGACGATTTGTTTGCAAACGAAGCAAATCAAGACCATGTGACTGAGATTTTCATCCAGATCGAGGCTCGTCTTCGTTAAGATATTGGCGGCCTGGGGAGTGATGACATCTTTCAACTTGCTTTTGGGTTTGGTGGGGGGGCTTACTTGACTACCCTTTAGTTTCAAGGAGGCAGAAACAGCTTTCGATGTAGATTCGGGCGCGTTTGCTTCAGACTGCGATCTTGTTACTCGCTGAGCGTTTGTTTCGGTTGGTGTGGAGGCTGTGAGACCATTGCCATGTGAAATGGTCGACACAGACTTGGGTTGAGCTGTCGAGTCCTTTTTGCTGGGCTGATCCTTGACAGCGGCAGGGGTAGTCTGTCCATTGCTCTGATCTTTTGCCACGGGTGGCTCCTTCGATGGAGTCAGTCCGGCTTGCTGTTTCGATGTGGGTTGAGATGATAACAGATCAAGATTTTTCTTCGCTTTGAGATGTGGTGGCAATGCGCCATCTCGATCCGACACTGCGTCGCTGTGGGGCTGATGGCTACCATACCGATTTGACGCCGTGTGCGATGAGGCCGAGCTTGGCTGTTCTTCGGGATAAGTGTTAAATGAAATGAGATCGTCCGATTGCTCCGAACGAGTCTCAGCGAGCCTTCTCTCGAGCTTTGCTTTCCTCTTTGATTTCTTGGCTGTTGTTTTGTCAACAGGTTCCGTCGTTTCAGTCCGGGCCGCCTGCTCGTTGTGGTACGCTCTCAAGGGAGGGTTTATGGGCGTTGATGTCAGGACGCTCATGCCACCATCATTCCCGAGCCGGGTACGTGTCTTCATATCGATTGCCATGCGCCCAAGCTTAGTGGGCGTGCCATCCGACTCAAGGCGCAAAAACGCTGAGGGCGCAAAGACCAGGCTTTCGCCCACGGACAAGTCCATGATGTGTTGAAAGATGTCATGATTGTTCAGATCGCTCATGCCGACCCTAGAAGCTGCGCCCAAATGATGTTGTAGTGCAGAGAACCAAGCTGGAGAGGTGAACCGGTGGATAATAGACACCGAACATAGATCTAGCAGCTTTTCTGAAATCGTTGGTTCCTGAGTAGCGATGATAACGCGCGTTGCGTTGTGCCGCTGTTCTCTGATTGTGCCGAGCAATCTATCTGTAAAACTTGACGATGCCAGGGATGCTGTCATATATCGATGTGCTTCGTCAAGCGCTACTACCAGACCACCAGAGGATCTGTGTTCTTTCACGAGGCTGAGACAAATGTCGAACAATATACATGCCGTTGCTGGATCCACGAAAGGATCAGTGAGGTCGACGATCGTCAAACTCCCAGCTTTGATGTTCAGCAAGCTTTCAGAAGTAGCCTTGCTACTTGACGGCGAGAGATCTAGATAGCTCTCAAGCAGTTCCAACCGTAGATTCAACGGACCCAGCTGATCTTTTGTGAGTACCTCCTTGTCAAGGATTTTTCGAAATGCGACGTAGTCAAAGCCACCCCCGCCTGTAGAAATTGCCATTTGTCGCAGGACTCGTAAAACGACCGACATGTACAATGGCATGGCACTTTCCTTGTCCGAGAATGCCATCAACCGGTGCATGCGCTCGATGCTGAGATCCGCAGCACGTAGAAGGAGTGGCGTGACGGTAAGACTCTTATCCGCGCCCGGAATCTTGCTATAAGCCGCGCGTAGAGCATTCTCATTGCTTTGCGAAACAAGCACGTTTACAGGAATGCCCATGGAGCACAGGTAGGCCGTTTCTGCAACACCGCCAGCCGCATCAGGGTCAAAGTGGAAGGCCAGTCCTGCCAAGGGACTTCGGACACGACCAATGCGCTCATCAGCAACCAAGCAGTTCTCCAGCATACAGCTGAGGGTATAGCTTTTGCCGCTGCCTTGCGATCCGCAGATGAATGCTGAGTTGGGCGCGTTGACGTTCATGAGAATCGGCTCGTTTGGTCTGATCGCGGAGTGACCGCCATTATGGAAACCGAGGACAGCATACTGGTCAAACATGCGCGTTCCACCAACGCTATTTCCATACTTCTTCTCGACGATATTCTTGATGCTCAATGTTGTCAAAGGTGTTGTTCGTAGATCTTCTTTGAGTCCGCTTCTTGAGCTGACCTCCAGGGTTGAGAGACGGCGGTACAATTCTTCTTCCTCCGCCTCGTGATAATCTTCATGCTGCGACTGCCAAGTTTCGATCGCCATGTTGGCAAAGATTCCTACCTGCCGGTGGGCTTGTCCAATTATGAAGCATGTACCTCCATTTATTAATGTAATTGATGAATCGTCTGTGAATGGCAAAAGTTTTTGCCGCCCGCGACATGTCACTTTGACCGTTGCAACCCTAAGCAGTCACCCCGAATCGGATTGCGGCGCATGCCCGATGTGTCATCCCTGGAGAGGCTCATTCTTCCACCGTGATCGTCACACAGATGCTTATGAACGAGCGCGTCCTATGAACAGTATTGTTGACCATCCGTGGAGGATACTCCAGGCCACATTCATGTGCTGACATGTAGCGTGTACAGGTACGAGAGACAAGGGGGTCTATTACGACTCTGCGTCAATTTGGTACTCTCGCTGGACCCTCCTCATCAATCAACGAACGTTCGTCATTGCGCTACACGGCGAGCACCCTGAAGGCTCGCTCCAAGGTTTGCGCACACGTGGTTCCGGCACGTTGTCATCAAGATCGGTATTTGTCTCCCGAGTGACTGCTCCAGCTTGAAGAGAGAGAGACCGTATCGCATTCTCAATCACGAGCAGCCAGATGCCCGTGTAGGCCAGCCACATAGGCCATCTTGTCGAGCGCGTTGCACACAAAGGTAATCTATGTTCAGACGTCGACCAGGGCCTTTGGAGGTATTTATGACACCATGGTCGCTGATTTTCCAAGTCAGAGGATGTGTCGCTGGCACCTCAGGTAGGCCACCACGATCATAGATTCTCGGTCGTCACCATTGGGCAGCATCATGACGATCTCCCAGGCATAGTGCAATGGCCTATATAGGAATGGTCGTGGACCATCTGGCGGTGGAGCCACCGCCGTGCCCACTACCAATTGTCGGTTAAAGGACATTACTAGTACATATCACTGCGGGGCCATGGAGTTGGATCAAATGGTGGGAATCTTGATGTCTACAAATTTGCTCTGGGGTGCTAAGAAACGTCATCGCCGAAATGGACATAATTTCAAGGATCAGTAAGCTTGTTGGTGGTAATCGAGAAAATCAGCGCATTGTAATTGGTCGAGTCTACCGCGTTGCTGGAATATGTATGTGCCCAGGTGTGTGGAAGGTTTCGCTGGCTGTGGACAGTGTCTCACCAATGGGCGAATTCTCGGCGGGGTCATGTAGACGCGGTCTCGTCTGGCTGCGGAAGGCTTCCCTTGAGACACAGGACACACGATCGCACATGACGACATGCAAGTATAATAATAATAGAGCAAGGCGGATCCTTGACTTATCAGTCGGTATGCCAAGCAGGTACATAGCTGGGCTATGAAATATGTCTTCGGCCTGCTTCAGTCGAGGCAGGCTTCGATATCTCGTCCGCGAGACTGCTCACAGTAATGTCGGGGCTCACCTCTTTCCCTCACAGCCACGGCGGTGGCCTCAACGCAACTACGCAAGCTCGATCCTCGATATCGTTCGAACATCGATCCAAAGATGAATACTCCGAGCAGGGACTCCAAGAAGTGGTGGAACTGGCTTACGCCACCTTGATATTTAGATACACGGGAGAGTCTGTCGTACGATTCCTTACCCTCGACCTTTGTGGCGACCGAGAGTCATGGCTTGTGAAGCGCATGAACACTACCCAATCAGAAGGACAATCAAGTGCCGGTCATCTACTTCAAGACGAAGTAATTTCGCTTGAGAGAGATAACCTGGAGGCTCCAAATGTTCTCGTACGCGCGAGCGATTGCACGTCAGAAGTTTTCGACGGGCCAGAAAATGGCGTTGTATTTCGATTGGTCTACTCATCCCAGAACGATAAGATTTTGCAATTTCGAGCTTACTACAGTGAAGATGCTGTCGGCAAATTCCATGCTCAAAGGATGATTGCAAACTTCTCGGACTGCCTCACACTACTCATGAAGCGCGAATCATTATCATCCTGTTCGGCGTTGACACAGAGACAACGGGGCGACGATGATTGGATCAAGCAATGGAATTCAACTCCACAGCAACTTGATGATCGAACCATACACGACTGCATTAGCCAAGTAGCATCACAAAGTCCGGAAAGAATAGCGATTGAGGCGCACGATGGGCGCTTCACTCGCGGCCAATTGCAACAGCAAGCAGAAGCAATGGCGCTTCGCTTACTCCAAGCAGGAGTTGTTCCGAATGGAGTCATAGCGATTGTCATGGACAAGTCACAATGGGTCATCGTCACAATATTAGCTGTTCTGAAGGTCGGTGCAGCATTCTTGCTCTTGGATCCTAGCCTTCCCCTGGAACGTCTGAAAGTGATGACAGAAAAAGTTCATGCATCTCATACTGTCACCACCCCTGATCACAGCAGTTTAGCCGTCAAGCTTACCAAGAATATTTTGGTTCATATCGGCAAAGGAAACCTCCTCGCAATTGATCAGTCCGCAGAAGCCTCAATGCTCACCTCCAGGTTGCCACATGTATCACCTAAGGATATAGCATTCTACATCTTCACCTCTGGCAGTTCTGGTATACCCAAGGCCATTGCGACTCAGCACTTTGCCTGGTGTACCGGTTACACACACCATGCCCACAAGATCGGTATACAAGAAGGCACTAGAGTGTTCCAGTATGCTTCCTACAGTTTTGTCGTCTCGATCCTTGATATGATCTCTACGCTACTAGTAGGTGGCATAGTGTGCATCCCAGGTACGTATGAACGTGCCAACGACTTGGACGGGGCGATTCGGCGATTCGCCCCTGATTATCTCTGTGTCACCCCTTCGGTGGCCAAACTCCTGGAGCCTGAGAACTTCCCAAGCCTAAAGACACTATCCCTTGTTGGAGAACCTATCCCAAATGCTCTAGTTCAAAAGTGGTTGGGTGCCACCCAGACTAGACTTCTCAACGGATATGGTCAGAGTGAAGCCTGTAGTATGAATAGTGTGGCAGAACTGACTCGAGATCCACGCTCGCACAGCAGCATTGGTCGAAGCACTTGGCTAAGATATTGGGTCGTCGATCCATCAGATCATGATAGACTCATGCCAATTGGAGCCGTTGGCGAATTGGTGGTTGAAGGCCGTAGTATAGCACTAGGCTACCACGATGAACCTGAGAAGACGGCAAAAGCTTTCATCAAGATGCCTCGTTGGTCAGATGACTTTAACATACCTAAGGATCATCGTTGGTACAAGACAGGCGACCTTGTGCAATGGCAAGCAGATGGTACTTTGATGCTCTTTGGACGCAACGACGCACAAGTGAAGTTCCACGGCATGCGCGTACAGATGGGCGAGATCGAACATCACGTCTCACATGCGTTTCGTGAAGAAGTCGCAGAAGTGGTAGTGGAAAAGGTCAGAACGCCTCAAGAGGAGGGTGACAGGGAACTCCTGGTAGCGTTCATTGTCGCGAGAGACAAGCAAAAGGTTAATGGCCACGTCGAGGACAAGAATCAAGACTTGAAACATCGGCACGAACTGGAAGTTTTTCTCCGAGATCAAATGAAAGCTCGGTTGGCCGAACAGCTTCCTTTGTGGATGACTCCGACTAAAGTGGTAGTGATAGATGCTATGCCACGAACACCAACAGGCAAGCTTCACAGGAGCACCTTGCGTGATTCCTACCCCGTTCGAGATCGTGACCCAGCATCGACAACATCTCAGATCGAGACTAAGGAGCCCGCAAACATGAAAGAAATTACCACAGATCCAGGTTTGGATAAAATGAGATCACTCTGGGCGAAGGTCGGGCATATCAAGCAAAATCAAATCGAAGCCAGCAGTCGATGGGCTGAGATCGGAGGCGACTCGTTAAGCGCGATCGCGCTTGTCCGAGAGGCACGCAAAGCAGGGTTCGAACTCAGTACAGCAAACATCATGTCTGGACTGACCCTGCTTGACGCGAGCCATCAACGCCGGCAGAATCACCTGGAGCTGGAGGAGCATCCCGATCAGGAGCACCTCCGCCATCAAGGTGATGTAAAACTATACCCATTGACGGATTTCCAAGTGGCCTATTCTCCTACTGCCGAACACAAGTTTAGGGTGTGGGAATATCGGATCTCCTTGCGTGGCGACTTCGGATTGGACAGACTACGAACAGCCCTGGAAAGCCTCATTCGAGGAACAGAATCTCTGCACACCTCCATCGTGGAAGACGCAACCGGGACGCTCAAACAGGAAATCCTGCCAGTCGAAAGTGAAGTATGGAAGGGCAGAATTCGCGAAGAATCGAACACATCCGGCCACAATTTCCTTACAACTCCCGTCCTATTTTTGATGCCCGATCAGGTCGACGCATCCGCCAGGGAGCTGACGTTCTCAATACATATCGGCCACATAATATTCGACGGCATCTCGTGGGATCTTATACTGAAGGATATCGCTTCGGCCTACGCCCATGACGGTGTGATCAGCACTCGACCCTCTTTTACGGGCTACCTTCAATCGCGACTGCTCCAGCGCAGCCCCGAGTCTTTTGAATACTGGCGGAATCTCCTCCAGGGCTCGTCGCCCAGCCCATGCATCCCACTAAAGTCACCGAGTGCAAGACCGGATCCGAACAACATCGAACCTTTCTCCGACGAGCACATCTTTGACCGGATCTTGAACATTTCGTCCGATGAAACTCAGCTCCATTACCCAGCATCTGTCGTATGCCAAGTCGCATGGGCCATCACTCTCAGCTGCGTCACACGACATCCCGATGTCATTTTCGGCTACCTCTTTCACGGCCGCGACGAGAATATAACGGCGTCGGAGCAAATCATAGGTTGCTGCACAACTATTGTACCGGCACGCATCCAGCTGGATGAGACTATGACGAGCGTATCTCTCCTCGATCATGTTCAAAAGCAGGTTCACTCGAGCTCAATACACAGCCATCTGGGCTCTCACACGATCGCTCAATCATGTACCGACTGGCCCCGGAGCGAAGAATGGTACTATCACCGCTTCGCCCTCCTCCACCAGAATGTTCCCGAGCCCGTGTCCCTCCCCGTCGGCGATCTGGGATACATGCATATCAAGAATGTGACAACGAATCGCCGTTACCCCTCAGAATTCCACATCACCACGGTCGCGGCGGGCTCGAATATACTACTTTTCAAACTTCGGGTTCGGAAAGACCTCTATCGTCACGAAGACGGGAGTGCGGTGGCTGATGCATTTTCCTTGGCAGTGAAGATGGTCGTCGCTGGGACGTCGACGGTCGGCCAGATTCGCGACGCGCTTCTCACAAAACATCCGATTCCGAGGATGTGGGTCGAGCCCTTGATCTCGCATTAGTAGAAGGAAGAAAGCAAATCGAAATCGATCGCATGATCTAGCTCGCCATGGACGATATATTAGTGGCAGACACGCGCTTTCCACGCTATCGACAGTTGGATGATCCCCGCCCTGTACGGCTAGGTGATATGGCCCGAGCCCGAGGTGTAACAATCCACAACGCAACGACCAGCTATCTTGATATACTCGCATGTGGTATAACTATAGACCCGACCAGTAACTATCTTACGATACATGGTTCTTGTTGACAGGTCGAGTATAGAGTCATTGACAAAACTTCCAACAGCACGACTTTTTGGAGATAGATTTTACGCAGCGAAGGTTTTCCAACCGTCGATAGGGCACTTCGGTTGGAGCGGTAGCGGCGCCCTAAAGGGTCCACAGCCGGGATTGGGGTTCTTCCTCCAATTCCAATACCGAAAGCCTCCAGGGCTTTCTGTTGGTGAACGGTGCTGCCGAAATCTTGACCTACAGTACCATGGTGAAACACAGCAGTAATCGGATCCCCAGGGTCCAAGATCAGTTGAAAATACAGGATCAAATTTCATCCCTGTTAGCCGTGTCCCGTATAGGCGGACAGCGAATCACGATAGTCATACTAGACGACCCGCGCGATCGCTTCGTACAATTCTTACCATGTCAGTGAACTTTCCTGGTACACCTTCCCGAGTGAGCGTACAAGTCTAGCCAATTTGCTCCCTTTCAATCATACAAGCGACCAATTAGGGTCGGTCTCGGGTACGTCACAACGACGAGTGCGTCTATCCTCCCCCGGTGGAACATGGAAAAGTACCTCAACAAAACCATCTGTTCTTGATAATAATTCTTCTTCACTCTCTGCACGCGTCGTGTATCAGCATTCCGGGATTGTGATGCCTGTGCATCTAGACGAAAGCTCTCGTCACATGGATAAAAATCTCTACATAAAACCTGGCACATGATGGCCAAGGAATGGCAGTTTTTAAACTTTACCAGCATCGAGGACTCCACCGACCACCGAACTCGTACATTCATCCGGAGCCACGTCACCAAACGACAACATCAACTGGCGAAGAGGAAAGTCGTTCAACCTCCGAATCACAATCTACCGCAGGGTCAGAATACCTTTGCAGTGCAGTTTAAGGTTGAGCCGGAAGAAGAGCCTGATGCGGGATGGGCTTCGAGAGCGACTACCGAACTCCTGGTCCCGGCGTCATCGAATTCACGTAACCAAACACGAAGACTCGCCGGCAAGGGAAAGAAGCTCAAACCTGGAAATCGACCAGCTGCGAAAAATGTTGCGCCCGAGAAACGTCTGGCTCGTATGTCTACCGCTCAGTGCGATTCAATGGACGATTTGTCCTTCGGACCGCTGATTATGTGCACCAGGGATATTGCCCGATCCATCAAATGGGCGAGCAGAACCCTTCAACTGCTATCCCGTACCATATCAGGCCGACTATGACCGGATCTTACATCACAGTAAGTCCAAATTCATGTTCGCCATACCAAAGCCGACGCTGATACGACATCCTCAACAGTGATGACAGTCTTCGCCCCTCGCGCATGGCCCGCCCTGAAAATCAACAATGAACAGGGTCTGCACTGGGAGTGGTTCATGACCCAACACGCCCTCGCCGAGCCCGCCCTGTTCTACGTACGCTTATTGTTTGCCTCTGGCGACCTCGCGCGCATGAACGCCATTCCACCCAACACCACCGCATGGCTCCGATATCAAGCCGTCAAAACGATTAACGAAGCCCTGTCAGAACCCACCCGCGCCACCTCCGACGCCCTCATCCTCGCCGTCGGCCGTATCGCTCTACACGAATGCCTCTACGGTAACCGAGAAACTTCCAATCGAGTCCATCGTCCTGCTCAGGCGCGCATGATCGCCATGCGCGCCGGTATAGAGGCTTTGAATTTCCCTGAACTGGTTAAGCGCTTAATGCGCTGGGCAGATGATATCATGGCGAGACAAGGCGGGACGGAGAGATTGCTTGAGGTCGGTGATGAGTCGCAGAATTTCTCGCTGAAGGAGAGGATAGAGGCGCTGGAATCGTGGGTGCCGCCGGAACCCGATGCTGATCAGAGAAACGCGCAGTGCGCGTTGCCCTCAGCTGGAACATTCATCAAGACGGAAGGACACAGGGATTGAAAGTTATTGTCATGAGCTTTGTACTAGTACGCATTGATGAATTGATGGATTGACATCTGGAGATTATCTGGTTTCATCGACTTGTGGGAGGTTCTGTATAGCTTCCGAATTGCGTAGTATATCATTGGATGATCGAAGACTTGCTGTTTGCCATAGATTTTCTCAGTGATACTCGATGCCGTCATGCGAATGCACGATGACGAGAAAAAGACGTTGCTGCCTCAGGCATGACGGAGCACATCCCATAGCTGACTCAGAATTTCCATCATCGGGCAGCCGAGGGTCTCCTTCATGCAGGGCGTACGGTAAACACGACCACGTGGGGAGCAAGAATAAATCTGTTGTTGTCTAGTCACGCATCTTGACGGGCAATCGTATCGCGACTTCATGTCCTGAACAATACGATGCCATGCAGATAAACTTTCGTCCTCGGCTTCAGCGACGCGTGGAAATTCGCGTGCGCGACGCGTATCAAGAACAGAGGGCTCCGCCATCGCAATCGCAGGTCTTCTACACAGCGGTACCTGCAAGCCACCATTGGCGGGGAGGCTGTGAAGGCCACCCAACCATGCATGGCCAACAAAGAATCTACATGAAGCTCGCACAGTAGGTTCGTTAAGCGAGACAGAGTCTTGGCATTCCGCTCCCTCTGCATACAGTCAGCACTCTTTTTGAAGCCGCTGTCCAACACGGGTGCCGGGACTTGGGGAAGGATGGCCAGAAGCCTGCAAGGATTGCTGCAATGCAGACATGGCTTTTGATCATGCCACCACCTTGCAGGAGGAGCCTCTTGAGATGGATTCCTCTGATTTGCACTCCCAAGCCGCCCGCAATGCTGCCCATGTGCGAAATATGACTCGGCGCTGTAGCTTCTCGCTGGCCATTGTTTTTGTTTCCTCTAAATTCACGTCTTTCTTGGCCATCAACAGTTCTGTGTCGTGAACCCCGAGTGCGAGATATCGCGAGGACCCGTCGCCACGACTTCCTATGATGTGGCTTTCCTCCATCTGTGCCTTATTATTCGCGAGCCTCGCCGCCGCTGCTGAAGACGGTCTATTCACCTATCCAGCGCAGGGAGGGACGTATGTCTGGAACACCGGTAAAGCGCAGCGCATCGCATGGACGTCCAACGAATATGGTTTATATACCATAACATTAGGTCAACGATACAAATATGTGAGCTACGTCGCGCCGATCAAGCAGATATTTGGTATGCGCCTCCACGATACACACTGTCGCTCTCGATCGAATCAAACCTGCTAACAGCATATTCGACTTGTAGTCAACAGCAGTCTGACTCCCGGTTCATGGACATGGGATTGGGTCGTCGATAACTACTCGGCGGATCTTACAACCGGCAACGTCTTCGTGTTACTAGCAAACGACGGCTATGCGCAGAACTGGACCAGCGAGGATTTCACGATCCAGCGCTCTGTGCCCGGTGCCAGCACGGCTACCACGGGCATGACTTATGCCACGCTCGTGAGTGCCGCGAATCCGAATGCCGCTACAACAGCTGCTTCAAATCCCGGGTCGAATTCGGCATCGAGCTCGAACTCAGGCTCAAGCACAACCTCAAACAACGGCGGCGCTCCCACCACCACCAACTCCGCCGCCATCGGTGCCGGTGTTGGCGGCGGCATCGGCGGCGCGATCCTGCTCGTCGGCGGAGTCTTCGCCTTTCTCCACCACAGACGACGCCGCTCCAGGCAGTCCGAATCCGAGAAAGCTTCTTCAGAGCCGTTGGCACCTCCGAGGCTCAGATCGCGGACTCCGCCGCATGATTATATGATGGAGCAGGATTTCCGAGATATTCCCAGCGAGCTGCATCCGGAGGGCAGGTATGATCCGACAAAGACGCCGCAGGAGGTTCATGCGACGCATGTGGTGCATGAGATAGGAGGTGGGGGTGGGCGATGAGATTTGTAGATGATGCAAGATACGAGGATATTTCGATGGAATTATAATTGCTCTTCTTGGGCATGCTCTGCCATTTCCGTGTGTGCGAAAGCGAGAGAAGCAGACGGGCTTTGACGATATTTCTGCATCCTCGCGGGTAGAATGGATCGTTGCTCGGAGGGAAGCCCGACAAGCGTTGTGCCCCACACATGATCGGCATGATATTGCGGCACGGGCACCAGCATGTCATCCTTAACATTCTTTGAGCCTTCGAGAACGTTTCGCTGGCAAATTAGACTTTCCTTAAGACGAGAAGAAGATTCCGTCGCGAAAAATGTCGTTGTATAAGATGCCTTCGCATTGGGAGAGGGTCCCTCCCCTCGACGCAGGAAAAGCCGATGGCGAAAGGAGCTTCCTGAGGGTGCTCTATATACATCTCTACGAAGTACGGCCGTCTGCCGAATACATTTCAGAACACGGATACCTTGCACCGCATTCGAAAGGGGATTTTCTGAGAGTCATTATCACCTGTGATCAATCGCAGGCTCCGCTGTCTTTATTGCAGTCCTACGTTCATCCTTTTGCATGGGAGTGCTACAACGGTACACCGCTTCCAACATTCGATGTCCACCGCCAAATCGAGCAGGTACATTTCTCGTTCAATCTGAACCAGCCGCGTGCTTTTCAATGGAACATTTCTTTGTCTCTAGACTCGGTTCTCGCATTTGATTCCCTAGAAATGAAGCTCAAGAATTTTCGACTTCCGGTGCAGTGGGTAGATCTCCCTGGAGAAGGCTGGAAAACTGCGATTGGACTCGCGTATGGCGAAGCATCCTGCCAGGATCTACTATCCTGCAGAGACTACTACCTCATGGCTTCGCACGGAGATGTTATGAAATTCGAGAAGATGATAGGCGGACAAGAGTATGCTGTTAAGCAAGTTGTTAAGTCAGAATACAAAGACGCCCCATTTCCAGCAATTGCCCCCGATAGTTTTCGCATCGCGACAGCATCACACTATGAGTATCGAAATGAGAAAGCCCATCTAGTCACGTCATATGCTGGAGGCGGTCATCTATTTTATTACTTGCAGAAAGAACGGCGCTTCGACCTGGAACGATCGAGGCTTTACATTGCAGAGCTTCTTCATACTTTGGACATCTCGATAAAGCACGGCTATAAGAGATACGATCTTCGCCCCCTGGCCATCAAGTTGGATCGTGTCGGTCGCGTTATGATCTGCGATTATGATCTCTATCGACACAGCAATGATTCGCTCAAGGACTATACTGCTGACTGGTACGAGAACAGATATCCTTGTCCAGAAATGTTTGCAGGTGCCGAACCAACAGCAGCTTCAGGTATCGTCTTTCTCTTGCGAGTGCGGATGAAATAGGAGCAAGTCTGACCATGATATAGTCGCTTGGACTTTGGGAGGTGCGTTATTCGAAATGCTTTACGGAATCCCACCTTTTTATCACGACGACCCATACGCCTTTAGACGCAATGTCTGTTCAGAGCTGGAGATAAGTTTTCCTACTCATCCAACATTTCCACCAAGCACGATCGACCTGCTCAGCAAGCTCTTACGCAAGAATCCCTGTCATCGTTTCGGAAACTTGAATCTCTCAGATATTGAATCACATGCCTTCTTTACTGATGTTGATTGGACATGGCTGACCTCACGAGAGCGCGTTGTCAAGATGCTTCCTCGGGCTGAATGTCCCATAGTTGAGGAAATCAAAGACTACGTACCCTCAGCGTACACCGAATTCTGCGGCATTCGTGTTCACAAATCCAACCTTGTATTCCAGCCAGAAATGCCGCAACGCAGAGAGATATCGTCGTGGCTACATTCTCGCAATCTCGCGGCTGTCGATGTTGAAAGAATCGTTCAAACAATTTCCCTTCGAAACGCAGTCAGCAAAAATGACATAACAACGGCAAAGGAGCTTCTGTCGCAAGGAGCTCATTGCAATTTTGAGAGCGACGACAGCCCAGAAGAGCACTGCGAACCTAGAAGTTAATCGGGAGATTGCGAATTTGGTAGTGATTATGAGTTCTCAAGCGAAGATTTCATGCCACCACTAGTCCTCGCAATCGTTAACCGAAATGAGGAAATGGTAGAATTGCTTCTCGAATACGGATCCGACGTGAATGCAGCCTATCATGAGCTGCACGACAAGGAGATCCCCGATGAAAATGACAAAGGTCATGTAGTCCCTTGTGGAACAGTCGTACAGCTGGCGATAGCGCTTGAAAATGAAGAGATCACTCGTCGTTTGATCGATGCTGGCGCGGATCTGTGTTTTACAGATCCGCCGGACTATCGATGTCCTGCTGCGAATCGGATGACATGGCATCGGGTAGTGAAGCGGATACTGTATGCTAAGTCATAAGATACCATGCGATATCGTTTCCGAGAACATGCCTTACATGACGAATACAATACACATTGTGCTACTCGTCGTGTCATCGAATGAGGTTCAGATGGGCCAGCCCATACGCTTGATCAGCAGAACACTGCGTGGTCGATTCGACGATGTCCCCTGGCTCGGATTGTTGAAGATCATCCTGATTGTCACAACTTTCAACGTCAACCAGATGCTTGTATTATTACTCGTAGTACATATGAGATCTCAATGACTCTCTCCTATGCTTGGGCGGGCGTTTTGTCCCGCCGTGACGTCGCATGCAGGTGCGGGAGGTCCTGATGCTGCGCCTCTTCCGGCACAGCAACAGCGGACGAGTCTTGTTGTGCATCCTTCACCCTGCAATACGCCAGAAGTTTTGATCAAATTTTCAAGACTCGGCGATGCCAGCACTTCTAAGTAAATGGCGGAAAAAGCCAGTGTGTGCTTCCACGCGTTGGGAAGAACTCCGGCATCTGCAGGCCGAAGATGCCGACGGCGACCAAAACGGACCAAAGACCCTATACTTGCAACTACACGAACTAGTTCTGCCGATCGAAACGGCAAAGTTAGGTGAGAATGATTTGTTTTCACCGACAGGATGCCACTGGGGGAGCGTCGTCATCACCTGCGATCAATCACAGATCTCTTGCGATCTCGCGCTCTACCGAACCTCGCATTCGTTACGCCCGCAGTGGGTTTGCAAGCAACCGCTGCAGGAGTTCGAGGTGTTCCGTCCGGTACATCAGGTTCAAATATCTTTCAACCTCAACCTGAAAGGCTCGAATACCTTTTCGCTGAATATATCAGTGCCCCTGGGGGATGTTCCAGTGTTTCAAGATCTGGAGTCTAGACTCGAAAGCGCTCGACTTGACTCGCAATGGTACGACGTCCCCGGCAACAGCGGTGCCAAGGTTGCGGTTGGATTCGCGTTCTGTGAGAGATCCGAGCGAGAGGATTTCTATGATGCCAGACTTTGTTGTCCTTGGAGAGTGACCCACAAGTACATTGGCCCAGGACAGATGGAGACCGTGCAGAAGTACGCAATTCAATACTTGACGAACATCCCCGCGAATACACACTCTGAGCGCAAACCATTTCCCGTATTTGCTTACGATATGCCTGTTGCTGCATTCTATGAGAATATTGTTTTACACGGGCGAGACTCTATACTTTCGCCATTTGTTGGCGGAGGGCAATTGTTCTACTATCTGCAGCAAGAGCGGCAATTTAGTGTCGACAAATCAAGGATCTATATTGCAGAGCTCATGCACGCACTGGAAGGGTTGTCCAACCACGGCTTTCCTGGATACGACGTCCGTCCTACAAAAGTCATGCTCGACAGCTTGGGACATGTGAAGATATGCGACTTCAGATTGTATGGGTATCGTCAAGATGCCGTCGACACCAATCTTGAATATTGGCAGCAGAGTAGATACCTTACTCCCGAAAGTTCTGTGGATCCCACACCCAATGAAGCAACGGGTGAGTAGTGTGATGGCCATTAGAGTACTTGATCTTCAGCTGATCATTCCAGCCGCTTGGTCGATAGGGGCGGCTCTATTCGAAATGCTTTACGGTCTACCACCATTCTATGACGAAGACGTTGACACTTATATATCTCGAATACGCTCGACCCGCCCACTCGTAATTCCCAGTCGCCCTGAGATTCCATCAAGTGCCGCAACACTTCTGCTCCAACTACTCGAAAAGAACCCAGCAGCACGACTCGGAGCGTCAGGTCTGTTGGACATCAGATCCCATGACTTCTTCATTGGCGTTGATTGGACTGACATTGCGTCGAGAGAACGCATCGCTGCATTTGTGCCACCTGTAAACCCCCCATGGATTGCGAAGCAGGTTCGGCCAGAACCAGATATCTGGAGATGGAGCTGGACCGACAAGGACGGCATCGTACATAAACGCGCGTTTGATTTCGGAAAGTTGGCACGGAGGCTTAAATCAAAGCGTGAGCCGCCGGATTGGGAACTGCTGAAACCTCGATCCCGCCGAGCTCTCAAGACCGTCGAGCTTGGCTGGGCCGTCTTTCAATGCGACTTTGCCGCAACGCTGCGTCTCCTGTCCCAAGGCGTACAATGCGATTTCGAAGAGGGTGATCGTCCAGGCTACCCGAGGAATCCCGATAACGCCCAGATCTTCTACGACCCGACTTTCGCGCGAGAATTCATTCCACCCTTAGTTTATGCTGTACGAGGCCTCAACGAGGCAATGGTCATGCTTCTTCTTGCTCATGGCGCCAATCCTAATGTTGGTTTCCACGAGTTGGATTCAGCGGACCTCTACTACTCACATAACAACGAGGTCTCATGTGGCAGAGTTGTTCATCTTGCAGCCGGCCTGGGACTCATGGACATCACGCGGCGTCTGATCATCGCTGGAGCAGACATCTATCGTGCACAACCCGTAGCAGCGCATCATCTCTGTGCTGGAGTCCATCGAATCAAATGGCACCAGGTGATACAACGCTCAGCGGATGCTGCAGGGACAACGGCGGAAATTTCGGACTGAGGGTTTCGTTCTATATTGTAGACTCGCTCAAGTATATACCAGTGCACCAATCTCGAAAGGCTGTAGTCGCCCGGTGAGCAAACGACCCCTTGTCGCACCTTGAATCGAAAAATAGAAGAAACGCCATTCATCTTACAAAACACATCTTTATCCATCCAATACACGCCCAATCAAAAAGAAAATGCCGGTAAACGCGGCATGTGAAAACAAATCTCTATTCCGAAAAGTCTTACAAAGGTGCCTAACCTCTCCATTCATGTTCGCCTCCCGTCATCCTCCCAGAATGTGGGTATCTCCCCTCTGCCATCGGCGGCGGCGAGGGCTCCCATTCCTGGCCAGGATAACTCGCGCCTCGCATAGGAACCACTTCATCGCTGGTATTTCTTCGAAACGGTGGAGCACCGTGTTCTGGGAAACCTGCTGTGCGATGGTGGTGGGTAGGGTCGTGGTAGATTCGTCCTCCACTGGGCTGGCGGGGTGGTGCTGGAGGGCGATTTTCTTGGGTGTACATGGGAGCATGATCGTAGATTGGATCGTAGTCGTTGGTGTTGCTGGCGTAGAAGCGCTGTTGTTGCGCGAGGGAGGCGTGTGAAGGAGCGTAGTAGTCCTGTGAGGGCTGTGTGCGGCGAATTTGCTGCTGATAGTCGCGAGCCGGTGGTTGCTGACGTTGCTGGTAATATTGTTGTTTTGGTTGTTGCTGTGGGTAGTGTTGTTGGCTCTGCCGAAGTTGTTGGTAGGCAGAGGTTTGGTTGGTTTGCGACTGAGAATAGTCTACAGGACCTTGCGACCTTTCATCGACATAGGTAGGATACTCGCCAGGCGAGACTCGGGCTGGGGAAGTCAGACCCTCGGGTGGACCTCGACGGTAGAACTCTGCCGGTGTTTGAACATAACTCTCTGGACGGCCCTGCCATCCAGGACGTGCCTGTCCATTCTGCGGCGCGCCAGAGGGTAACGCAATGGCCCAGGGTGCTTGCTGACGTGCGGATGCTTCGTTATAGCCTTGATGATCCGCATGCTGATCCTCCGGTCCATACTCATACTCATACTGCGCTTGACCTCGGGGAATGTCCAAACTCTGAGCACCGCTTTGAGTCCTCTCGGCGCCTGCCGGTGGAGCCTGCTGCAGACCCTGAAAGTAATCATATTGCTGCTGATACTGCTCAGGGCTGATTCGTTGAGCTTGCGCAGCTTGAGACGGCACAGGTCGCGTGTTGATGATGGGGTTGCTAGTGCTGGCGAAAGCGCCTTGTGCCGGCTGTGGAGATTCAACGGGAGGCCCGATGGGATCCACCGATCCAACGAAAGAGGCACTCACGGGTCGGAACGCCTCAGGAATGCCCTCCAGAGTACTCGAGCCTCCAGTGTACGTTTGGCGATAGCCAGGTCGTGTTGTCGATTGCGCACGCACAGGCCCTTGCTGCTCAGGAAGAGGATTCGCATCGAACCAACCGTCGGGAACAGGTAAAGTTTGATCATTACTCTCCGATCGTCTTGGGACTTGTTTGCCCTGCATAGCAGACACATCATCCGAGTTCTGCCGCTGCAAAGCCTCGAATGCTCGATAGTTGTCAACGTGGCCCACAACAGTGCCGCTGGGTAGGACATCCTGGGAACCTGAATCCTGTCTGGTGTCCCGCTTGGTCAAGCGATTGGACTTTGGCTTGGATGAAACCACGTCCTTGGCGGCATCTGAGCGTCCGAATAGTGCGCCGAAGCCAGAGAAGCGCTTTTTATTGGGCTTGAGATCGACCTGAGATGTCGCTGGCGAAGAAGACGTGCGCTGCAGTTTCTTCAATGTATTCGGCCGAGGCGCCTCATCAAGAGGTTTGCTCGCGTCAGCCGAATTCTGGCGCAGCTCGGTTCCTGAGACACCTTCCGGCGCGGCGTCCGCTCTGCCTTGCTCCGATCCACGCTTTGTGCCGAGGGACTTCCACATACTATTTCGCTGTTGCTTGGAAGGCTTTCCCTGCGCAGTGGGCTCGGCATCGATATCGACTTCAGTAAATTGGGCGGCATGCACATCCTCAAGACCATGAAGATCCGAGATATTGCTAGCCGCAGCGAGTGTGTTGGGACCAGACGACGATGCACGACTACGGAAGAATCCCGATTGTGACCGCTGTGCAGGATCCCGCCCAGGCTCGTTCGGGCTGATGCCCGATGCTGCATTTGAAGAGCGGAGATCGGCATATTCGCTTCCCATGGCAGTTGGAGCGGTCCCTCGGAGTGCAGGATGCTGTTGAAATGGTGGGCTTCCGACAGGTGGGCCAGTGAGGTCTGATAGATCAACATTCGGAGCTGGCGTCTCGGGATCGCGATCGTGGAAAGTCCGAGTCGTGTTGATCTGCTCTGGAATCAAACGGCCGTTGGCATCACGAGGCTGCGGTGCAAATGACATCGGCCGATCAGGCATAGACGGACGGACGATTGCGGCAGGGTTTCGTACATATTGTTGGTTTGGCTGCGCTGCAGGGGGCGGATACGCTTGCACCTCCTTCAGCTGTGCGAGGTTGCCGGTCTGACGTGTGTCCTCCAGCGCAAGTGGAGGTATCTTCTCCTCAGCGGGAGGAGAAGGCTCTCCAAGGCTAGATACTGGGGAGTCGCGCGAGACAATTCTGTCCAGATTGTCGCCGTCTGGAGCCAGCGTAGCAATCTTGACATCAGCAGGTGGAGAAACGTTGTCGCTTCTTGCATCAATAGTATTGCTGACTGTAGGGGAGACTGGCGCGTCTGGAAAACCGGATTCCTTGCGCGTAGCATCGACTGCAACCGGACTTTCGGCCATCGTCTCGCCGAACACACCACGAGGTGGCGACGAAGCTACCATTATCGGCACCATCGTTTTTACAGGAGACTCTCTCGACGCTGATGTCTCGGCAACTGGAGCCGTCATTTCCTGTTGACCGTCATTGTCACGGCGGGGAGGAGTAGTGGTAAGGTCCCGCCCTTGAGAATCCCTCAACTGCGCCAAAACACGTGCGAGGGATTCGCTTGTCTCCATCGCAGGCGAGTTCGGCGCCGTACGTCGCTGACTAGGCAAAGTTGTAAGATCGCTCGTCCTTCGTGCATGCGTGACAACGGCAGATTTCGCTCCTTCGGCCTCTGGAGAAGGAACAACAGGAGCAACATTGGCGACATTTTCGCTCTGTTCCTCAACAAGCCGATTTCCAAATTTGCGCTCGCCAACACGGTCAACGCTTTCACCGGCTTCTCCCTCGTTGACATCCGGCAGACCTCCGAGTTCCTTCGCTCTCGCGCGATCCTCACCACCACTAGAGTGTAGGGCTCTCTTGATCGGACTAGAACCTTCATGCATCGTCGTCGCAGGACTAGGCAGGATCCCCAGACGCGCACCGGCAAGGAGCGCACTAGTCGCAGAATTGTTGCGTGGCGTGCGCGGTGGGAGATCCGCATCGGGGGCATCCCATGATTCGAATCGGCGCGGAGGGTTCATGGGGATTGGAGGGGCGACTCTTATGGGTTTGCCGGAGGGTGTGTGCGCAGGGGTCGTTTCGCGTGCGTTCTCAAATGGCGGCGCTGTGTTGTTGTCGGCGGCGGAGGGGAGGATGGGTGCGCCGATGCGGCTCAGGCGATTTTGTTCTGATTTGGATTCGACATCTTGATCCCAGCCATCTAGGGACATGGACCCGATGATTCCATCGCTGTCTGTCCGGACGAGACCAGGTTCGGCTGCAGGAACAGTTCCGAGTTCTTCTTGCGACTTCTTGTCGTCGGGTGCCACGAGACTGATTCTTCGGGAGAAATTCTTCAGCTTGCTAAGGAATCCTTTCTCCATAATTTCACTCGTAGGCCGAGATCGTCGTCCAGCGCCATGTGGAGAGCGCGAAGTTGAGTTCTCGGACTTGAGGCGGCCGCCGACGATGGTCGTCAGTGCGCGAGCAGGGCGTGGCATATCTGTGACGGACTGACGACCTCGGTCGGCATCGGAAGTGGCATCAAAGGTGGTTCTTCGGGCAGGCACCGTGGCATTTTCCGCGGCCGTCTCGAAAGACCCGTGCACACTCTCTTGTGTCGTCACTTTCTCAAGCGAAGATTCACCTCGTCCGTTGCCATCGACAGTGGTCTCGCCACCAGCGTCCTCTACCACTCTAGCAGCCGCCGCGAGCACTGCAAGCTCACCCGCATCGAGCGAATCGCTCCGCAGCCCATTTTGCCCGTCCTGGTCATTTCCTTTCAACGAAGACTTCGCACTCTCGGCCAAGGACTCCGCCTCCAGGTTCCTGATGTCCGCCGATCTTCTCCGAAACGCACCAAGCAAGCTCCGTCTTCGAAGGTCATCGCGAGACGAAGAAGCAGTCTCCGTTACAGCATTCGGAATGCTCGACACGGAGGCGCGAGGATCCACGTTTTCTGCCTCACGGGCAGATTGATGGGACGGGAGGTCAGAGGAATGTACAGGCACCAGAGCTAGGTCTGTAGTCGAGATTGTGGGAGGATGGGAAGAGAGGGGAGACGCAAGCAAATGATCTTTTCGCGAGGAAGATGTCACGGGCGTATTGGTGTTAGACGGAGCAATGCCCGCGGTAGACGTAGACGCAGAGGTCGGCGTTGAGACGTTCCGATTGGGAATGGCGTTGGCATTGGCGCTGGCAGCAGCGGATAGAGGACTGGACTGCACTGGAGAGGAAGAAGAGACCTGAAGAAAAATTTACATAAGCATATGGACTTTTTGTGTGTGAGGGGTTCTGACAGGAGATGGGTGACACTGAATGTCTTGTTCTGTGTGGTAGAGCTAATGAAAAAAAGGGTAAGAAGAACATGGGAAAGCAAGTTTGTGGGCATGGTGGGCCGAATGAGAAACTCGATGTGGTGTTGTTGGTGGAGCACGCAGGTGACTTCCATCAACCCACGCACATGTATCGGCGGTCCCTGCAAGGTTTCCTTCACGAAACAGGCAAACCCATTCTGAGGTCTGACAAACATGTGGTAGAAGAAAGAAGCTTTGATAAAAATCGACAGGAGTGAAATGGAACAAAATCCAATAGGGTATCGTGATAAGAGATAACAGTGCAAGTAGATGATGTTTTCCAATCTTCTTTTCTTCGCGCAACCCATTCGCCTTTCGCTAGTTTGTAACGATCGGTTCTTGGTCCTTCTGAGGCGGGCGGTTTCCTCTCGACTTCAGATCATCTGTGTAGAGAAGAAAAGTGGGTCTCAGCTGATCTGTCGTGTCGAAGAATAGAGCGCGAGAAGAAATAGATGCATTCTGGCGTGTCTCCTTTTGGAATTTTCTGCTTCGATTGGAGTGCACGGGATCTCCTGAAGCCTCCACTGCTCGTCGATCTGACCCGATTTGCCATGAAGGGGGTGTGGAAAAGGTTCAAGGGGCTGAAGAACACGACAAAGGGGCAATGGAAACAAGGACATTGAACGCAAAGTGTAAGCAAGGGGAAAACAAATGAAAGGGTCATCACTCTACCTTTCCGCCCGCATTCCCAGCTCCACCACTCCCACTCCTCTCCGAACCACCAGCCAACCGATTCCGCCCCTTCGCAAGCAATCCAAGAGCGCCGGCCTGCGCTTTCCCGCCGAATACACCCGCCGACTTCATGAAATCTTTTCCGCGCTGCTGCATCTTGTCCATATCCACGACCTTGGCCATGCCAGGAGAAGCCGCAGAAGCAGAATTGCTAGGGCCGGCAGTAGCAGGTGTTTGAGAAGCCGCGGTCCCGGGATCCGGGTACTGATTGTGGTGAGGACTCGGCGAGCCTGGGCGGCCGGTGTCGTCGTCGTTAGCCCCTCCAGCTCCACCGCCCCCGAAGCGCGTCGCGAGTTTACCGAGGGTGATGCTGGGAGATTGGCGATGGTGACCGTGAGCGCCGCCACTGCTGCCTGCAGCGCCAACGGCGACACGACGGAGAGTCCCGAGAGCGCCAGAACCGCTTGGAATGGCTTGAGGCGGGGCAGGCTCAAGGTTTTCGTATGCCGGATTGCGGGCGATCATGCCGGTGATCCAGGCATCAAGGCCGGTGTTCATGTTGCTGAAGGTTTGGCGGGTAGCGGTGTAGGTAGCGATACGGGAGGGCGCATCCGGGATCGCGAGAATGGTTTTGAAGGCAGGGATAGCTGGTGCTGAGGGCGCAGACGTAGGAACTATTGTTGGAGCTGCTGTGAACTGAGACGCGGCATCGGCATTGTCCAATGGATCTTCTGCATGGTCAGGCAAGTCGTCCGCGACGTAGCTGCTTGCAACACTATCGCTACGCAAAGCAACAATATCGATGCCGTGCTCGGTCTCATCATTGATAAGGGCTTCCGGCGAAAGATCACTGAGGTAGTACGAAGTCGGACGCAGATCACCCTTGTCTGAGCCACTCGGCGAGGGCGACCGCAGGGACACTGGTGAATGCGCCGACTTGTTGATGTAAGCAGGTAGAAGGTTCTCCTGGCTTCGGTTCGTCGCAATCTTTGGTAGCGGCAACGGCGGGAGGGCTGCCTCGGTACCGTCCTCCGTGGTCTCGATAGAGGGTACGACTACTTTAGGCGTAGTCTCAGCTGCAGGACTTTCCGCCTCCACTTCAGCGTTGACGACATTGAGCTCCTTGTTGCGGGGACGTTCATAGGCAGCGACAGGCTTGATCTCAGGGCTCTTTGTCTCTTCCCTGGCGGCTGCTGCGTCTGTACCAAACGAAGTCTTCAAAGCTGAAGGGGAAGTCGGACGAGATCTTGGGGTGTAAGATGACTTTGGCAAAAGATATTCCGACACACTAGCTTGTTGCTTGTGAGCTGGTCGTGACTCCCATGAGAATCGCTGATCGAGGATGGGCTTGGCGTCTAGACCTTTGAAAGAGGCAGCGGCTGCTGAGGCGTCAAGAGCATCCTGAATCCTTTGTCGATCGTCCTTCGCAGCCTCGGTCTTATTGGAATCACTATCCAACTTGCTTGGGGTATTATGGGTGCTGGCATCCAGGCTTCGGACGATCTCTCTGCGAAGGCGATCGCTTTCATTGCTGGTCTCGTCAGTGGGACTAGCTGTACTTGTGCTTGTTTGGGTGGGCTGTATCGGTGAAAAGCTAGTTGCGTTATTCGACCCTGTGGGAGGAGGGTTGGATAGGTTTTTAGCATTGGAGTTCAAACGGAGAGGCGCAGGCGCATCCTCTTTGATAGATGAAGAAGCAGTCGATGATTGTGCCTCGACAGTATCATCCGAGTCAAAGCGATCCAAGGGTGGTGGCGCAGCACTCCGCTGTCCAACAAATGGCTTCGACGGAGTGGCGTTGGAGCCGGAAGACACACCGGTTGCAGGGTTTCCGAAGTCCTTCGATTCATGGCCGAGTCCTACTGTGGCAAGGAGAGAAGAGCCAAGTTGAGCTCCAGCGTTCTTCACAGCATCGAGAGCGCTCGCAACAGTAGCATCTTCTGCACCAGACGAAGCCTTAGAGGTAGAGGTCGGTGCGAAAGAGGGTGTGATCTCCTGCAATTGCACCTTCTTAGTCGTGGGCGTGATATCAGACTGCGCGAGAGAGGGAGAGATATCGGCAGTCATTACAGGCGGAACCTCAGTAGCAGGCGTGGGAGCAGAGCTGATCCACCCGCCGGGCATATCTGGCTTCACGAAAGAAGGCTCACGCGTTGCCGCATCAGGTCGTGGGAAAGCATCCGACACTGCGATGGAAGCACCGGCGATCTCATTAGCTGCGCTCTTTGTCAGAGAAGACACGCTGCCAATTGATGAGGCAGAACCTCTACGGGAGCGCGTCTCAATCTTCTCCGCCAAGTCGCGAACTCGGCCTTTGGTAGGGCTGTTGCTGCGAGGGCTTTGTGTTGGTGACGGAGAGCCGATGGCGGCGATGTTCTTGGAGGCAATGGGGCTCGGAGGCGCACCAGGGGTACTAGGGTGATTGTCGAGGAAGAGATGTCGGCTCGCACGCACAGCTTCGGTGATAGTCGGGGTGGAAAGCTTCTCACCGGTGACGTTGATTGGCGAAGTGGTGCTTTTGCCGTTGATGTTGTCGACTAAATCAGCCTCACGTAGGCTCAAATCACTTCCAATGCGTAGAGACAGAGGAATGATTCCACCACCTTCCTTTACTTCCCCATCCTTCGAGATGGGTGCCGGAGGCGGAGCTTCGGATAGTGTATTTGCTTGTCCTTTCTCACCCTCTGCTTCTCCGCCACCGACTGTCTCCGCAACCATCGGTCCGCTCAGACGCTTGGAGCTAGGAGACGACTCGACCACCACCGGATGATGTATCGGAGTGGTTCCAGAAGCAGGCGGGTCCAAGCTACGTCGATAGCCCGGCTCAAAAGATGTTTCGATCGGTGCAGGTATCGGTGGAGCCGAACTGGTGATGGTACTACCAGATCCAGGCAACTTCTTACGCATGATCGAGCCGCGATTACTTTGCAATGCGGGTGCATCCGAGGGCTTTTGAGTTGAGCCTGGAAGGGCCGCATTTGCCAATGTTGTACTGGTTGATGGGAACGATGGTTCCTGCTTGATAATCGGGCTGATATTGGTTGTCCCGGTTGAAGTGGTGTCGCTGCGGTGAACACCGCTGCCAGCAGTAGTGGATTGTGAACCGTCGCGTGAGAGGCTGGCATTGTTACGATCGAAGGCTTGCTCCACTGCGGACCGGAATCCCACCGAAGGTGAGTGCTGGAGGCTAGATGCTGGCTGAATCGTAGATGTGCCGGATGTCGTAGGCGTTCCCTCAGCAAGGGGTGCTGAAGCAAGCGGTCCCAGTGGCTGAGATATCCTGTTGGGACCTGTCAAGCTTGTTGGTGAAGACGGTATTGATTCCCGGCCCTCAGCGACCGAGTTGAGCGGCGAGGAACGGCCAAATCCAGACGATGCGATTGGCGGCGCGATGCTGCCACTTGCTCCGGTCTCTCTTTGAACAAAGTCCGGTGTTGGCTGCGTGCTCTTCTCCACGTCCGACGATTCCCGAGCCTTACTTTCTGCCATTCGCTTGTAAATATCACTCGGTCTGATGAAAGGGAGCGGTTTGTCAGGCGAATCTGCCGAAGCGCTGGACGGAGAAGCTACAGGTGACGTGGTCGAGTTGCGCTGCTGATTCTCCGGGCTCTGGCGTGGACCACTGACCGAAACACGAGTGTTCAACGGTGCAGGGACATATTCGGGGTCCGAGAAATCGCGTGGTCGATTAGGATTACGATCCGGAACCTCGGGGGATCGAGTACCAACGCGAGCGTCATATGGTCGATTTTGTGATGCGCTCGACGGGTTCGCACTGAATGCGCGGCCTTCGTCGCCGCGGTCGAAGCTATTGGCCCGAGGCAAGCGTTGCTGCGGCTGTTGGGGATACTGAGCTGGCGGAGATGTCGGCTGTCGTGATGATGGATACTGCGATGAGGTTGGCGATCGCGCCTGTTGCTGTTCAGGCAAGTCGTCCATGTATTCGTCATAGATGTCGTATCCTCCCCAATCATCGCCGCCATAGTCGACCGTTCGGGCCTGCTGCCATTTCTGTGTGCGATTACGCCCCGGTACCGTCCGATATGATACTGGCGGCTGTTGCCCATTATTAGGGGGATTATTAGGACCCGGACGCGACATGTTGTCGGTCTCAAGGTGTGGTTATTATGGTTCAAGGACGGGAGCAGAGCTCGGTGAAGGGGTTCCGTTCAGGCGCAGATCATGTCGGACCGCGGCAAGACTCGAGACGGCGTATTAGAATGTGTGGTGCTGCTGCGCTCTAATCGATGTCAGTGGTATGCTGTTTGTAGAAGATCTTGTCGGTGTCGTCGGCGAGGCAGAGGTTGTGGTCGTGGTCGTGGTCGTTGTAGATGATGGGCTTCGGTGTGTTCGTAGAGTGGACTGGAAGGATTGCCTATGTACTGCAGGTGAGTTAGGCTCAGGCGGAGAAAGCGGGATTGGCCATGGGCTGATCCAAGTTCAGCCGCGGCCAGCGCAGATTATGACGACGCTCGGGCTGTGCTGTGCTTTGGTTGTACACGGGCATGGTCGTGTATGTATCTGCATGCTCGTATTACGTACATTTACATAACCTCTACTACTCACTATATTCCCTGTTTATGCCTGCACATCTAGCAGGAGGAAAGACTGTGAACATACATATCATTACTACCTACCTACCTACCTAGACATATAGTGCCTAGGTAAGTACAGTCCCCGGCCCTGCCGCATAACTCATCCATAACTATGTATGTCAGACAGACGTTGCCCGATGTGTAGTATGTATACATAGATCTTCATAAAAGTTGGCAGCATCTGTACGGAAATCCCGCCGATTAGGGTTGCGTGTGAGACGACCATTATGGATTATTGAATGGTACGAATCCTCCCTGCTGTCACGCCCACCAAGCACCGTCCGTTTCCTTCGTCGCTCGCCTACTTGACATACATCGAACCTCCACCACTCCTTCTCCGATAGGTCACCTTTGGTGCGAAACATATCTTACTGTGTCAAATGAGGTGATACACGATATATACTGTTGGTGAATATGTATATGTCCGACACTTTTAGAAACGATATGACATGTCACCGAGACATTGTCAGGTTTCTTTCATCGTTTACCTTGGTTGCTCTGTCATGATGAGTCATGAGCCCCAAAGGCCGAAGGATCATTGTCGTCCCAGCGGAATGATCCTCGCTCGCTGTGAAGACCTCACTACTCTCCTCCCAGTCCTCTCGCCCCTTTCTCAAGTAATCTCCTGACCAGTCCCCTGAAACCCTTCCCACTTCCCTCACCATCAGCTTCCCGATTCCTCTCATTCTGCCAAGTCGCCCAATGGCTCGACTCCTTCGCGACGAGGTCCAGCATCTGCTGCGTGCGGCTAGGAAGAGGGATTTCAAATTCTGCGGCCAGAGCGCACATATGGTGCATTGCATCCCGCGATGCTTTGAGTTGCAGGGCACATGCTAGTAGAGCGCGGAAACTCTCCTCAAATGCCTCCATGGGTTGAGAGATGGATGGTTGTGATGGTTGTGGGGAGTGTAAAGACTGTTGCGGACTGTGAGACGAGTGACGGGAGGAGAGCGAGGGCAACTGGAGAGCCTGAAGTGAAGGGAGGGGTGAGAAACTAGTCGGAGTGAGCTGGTGGGTGGATGGTATTGCGGATGGCGACAGTTCCATTTTCAAGGGTTGAGAGCTGGACCTCTGGGTTTGTGGTTCTGCACTGTGGCGGCTCGTGGTGGTTTGCAGCGCAAACATGGCGGATACCAATTGGGAGGATTCGGCCTGTGTTGAAGGATGTAGTAGGTTTCGTTGAAGCTCGACGAGAAGAATCATGCAAGTCATCGCAGCTTGTTGGTATAGACATGCGGGCGGCACTTTCCAGCCGTATCGAATGCGGAAGTCTCGCAGCGCTGTGGCGGATTGACAAAGGACGGGGAGGAGCTGTGCGCGGAGTGATTGCGTCTCTGGCCAAGTATCGTAGGTCATGATCGTGTCGGCTTCACGGTCGTATGTAGCACTGATATCGTAACCGCGGCCAGAAGCTTCGAGTAGGTGACTGAAAAGCACCATTTGCATCGAGTGTATCTGCGCACTTTGATTCGAAAGAAAATATGTCAGTATTCGCTAGCGATAGCTCTCAACCAAAGTCCACGCTCGCGACGTACTGAAATTCGTATAATGGCAGCGGCATTGTGCGATTGTATTTAAGGTACTCCGGGAGACCGTCAACCCATGAGTTGATGCTTTCTATCCCTTTGACCGCGGCCTGGACTGTCTCTATCCTATGCGCTCTGAGCGTGCCAGTGGTCGATAGTGCATGTATCGCATCCCACTGAAATTGTGTCAAGGTGGTTCGAGCATGTAAGAGCGCGTTTCGGCGGAATGGCTGTCCCTCGGGGAGATACGGATATAATTGCCACTGTTCCGTTGTGTCTGGCAACCAGTGGTGTAAATCAACAGCATCATGCAAAGAAACATTGAGTGTGCTGGTGCTGTGGAGCATGTCGAGGCTATGTAACCTGCACAGGCCAGATCAGTCCTCGTGTTCATTAACATCACAGACAGGGGCACATGGCATCGATATGGACGGTCCACTCTCCCCGCAACGTACATGTGAAACCAAACCGCTGCAGAGGCGACGCAGCTTCGGGCGCGGGCTTGTTCGAAATAGTTCTGATCCATATTTGGATATGGATTCAGCCGGGGCAGTAAGCGATTCATGATCGAGACTGCACGAATGAGATTATTTCCGGTTTCCGAATCGCCGCGAAGAATCGCCCTAGAAGATTGAGTGGTATCAGCATACAGTTCCGTTCGAAAACTGAAATGGTTCGGTAGCCTCGTCTCTCAGGTGCTCGGCTGTCGAACTTACTGCAATGCCAACACCAGCAATGCTTGCATATTGACAATTGAGGAGTGGCCCGTCTTTTGCTCCAATTGCCACAGCCGCAAAGCTTCCTTGTAAAAGCGGTCCCCGCGCGAGTATAAGTCATCAGGCATGTCGACTGCTTCGTTACATTCGGCGAAAAGCTAGGAGATGTCAGTCCTGGGTGAATTTATGCCTGATGGTACTCAATTTACTCACGCATCCGAACCCGAGAACTGCATTGACGAGTAGAGCGCTGCAGTACAGCGAGGGACTGGAATGTCCCGGTCTGCCCTGATTGAGATCACGTATGAAGAGGTCATCCTCGACCAATCGCCAGTATGAATTGGGGCCAGTCACGAATGTCGAGATTAGGTGCGAGGCTGATGTTTCGCTAATGAGCAAGACGGTCCACCTGGAAGCTTGCACCTGAAATAGAGGTCGAGGGTGGGTATCATATTGATGGTGATGGCTGCGGACAGATTCGTGTTGCATGGATTGACGAACAAAGTCGTCTTTCGTGTCGGTGGCAGTGTTCTGCAGAGTATATCTGTCACTTGCCATGCCGTGGGTGGAGATATTGTCTACCGCCGTACCACAGATCACATGATCCAGTACTTCTGGAGTGATGATCCAGTCACGCGAGGCCAACAGAGATTCCGCCGTCATCGACGTCCGCATGCCCTGCTCCGTTTGCAATACAAAGCAACCGACAGACAAGATCCTGAATAAAGACGCTGTGCTCTGAGCAAGTACGCGGATGAACGTATCATGTAGTTGGGCTTCACTCCGAGACTTGTCGACTCTCTGCAGCCGTGTGTGTTGGGTTGGGAGGTCTTCGTCCAACTCGGATTGGGAGCCGACTGGCGAGGAGACCAGATCGTCTTCGTGGGCGACGGACGTTCGCTGCCTCGGCCGTGCTGACGGCCATGATATTTGAGATCGCGATGGTCCCGAACCTGTCACTTGACGCAATGCATCTGGGAGACTCCCGCCGGCGCGGAGTTGGGTCCGGATCGCATCGATGGCAGCGTCGTCGGCGTTGGACAATACCTCACTAAGGAGCTGGATAATTTGCTCGACCTCGTCGAGTTTTCTTTTGCGAGCATCGCGCCGGGTCTCGGAGGCATTCGTGACAAATTCGCATTTCTGATTGCGGCGTTGACAGGGCGAGCAGACAGGGCGTTGGTTGTCACATTTGATTTTGTGTTTCCGACAGCGCTCGCATGCTGCGGATACAGTTTGGCGACGTTTGGATTTGGCAGAACTCCCGGGACCACTGTCATTCCCCTCGCCCTCGTTCTGGGAAGCCGTAGCGATTAAAGACATATCATAGAGTCGTCAGTGAGGGGGTTATTCCCCTCTGCAACGTATTCGGTTGGGCGGAGATACAACCGGGAAGCAATTTTGTAGGTTCACGGTGACCAGGCAGTCGGAGTGAGCGCCGCCGCACTCACAGGAAATTTTTGCCAGAGGTCGGGGTCAGGATCCGATGGTGCACGAGTGTGAATTTCCCCTCTCCGATGACATACAGACAGAAGCCGGAGGGTGCGCGAGTACAACATAATCAAGCTTTCGTACTTGAGGTTACGAGCCCGGAAGAGGAAACCCCCACGCGCAACGATATGAGGCGGAGCAGAGGACACTGTCAATGAAGTGCAAGCAATGTCAAACGCAGAGATGCAGCAGTGTGGAAACTGACTGCAAGCGGGGCGGGCGATGATTCCGCTGCCTAGCACACAGCCCATGTCTCGTACTGCAGTACTAGATCTCACCTAGCACTAGACCTCAACTGACTCGGCACTGATCGGGCTCTCGCCATGCTCAGACAGTACTGTCCACAGTTCCAGACCTCGGGATTACGCAATGATGAATCGAACCGAGCATACATATATGTCTGGCGAATTCCACCCCTGCCCGGATGGCGAAGCAACGAGAGGAAGACGCCCTGACACAAACTTAACAAGCTAATTCGGACAAGATTTTCCCAACAGACTACCTAGGTATCCTTACACGGCGATCGGCCCTCCTATTGAATTTAGCGTCTTGCCGATCCCAGAAATCGCACATGATGTGAGTCATCTGCATGTCTGTAGATCAACGCGCCCGGGCTGTTCCACTCCGCTTTGTCGGTGATGATCTCCGTCCATACCTCATGCGACCGGGAAGCGCACGCGCGTCATGGACACGCCGATATGTGCTCCATCATGGCAGCCATATCGCGGCCGCAGTCATCTGGACAACTGCGCCAGTCAGCCACAAATGCCAAATCGGCGCTTGGTGTTACGATCGAGACAAATCTCGAGCGCGGCAACAAGCTGATGGAATTGAGGGGTGTTAGAGTTTCAGCATGCATTCGAATTCCTCCGTCCAGCAGCCATGCATGGACGCACGTAGCGGTCACCGGTTATCATGCATGTTTTCGCGCGCTGCAATTTTGCTAGCCACAGTAAATCAAGAGAACGGCGCGTGAGCGGCATGACTAGACTGGATTGGAGAGACTCTTTTGAGAGATTCGGGTGAGGGGAACAAATCGTCAATGGGCAAGACCGGAAGAATGCCCACTTCAAATCTGGCCGTTTGCTCTAATGGCACCTCCCTTTCGTAATGGTTGCAGCGGTCCCATGGTTAGTGTTCGCACTTTGCTCAAGGACGTAAGGTGCATTGAAAATACGATGGTGGGATTGCAGAAGGGCGGAGTGGTGCCGCCGACGTATCTGAACGGAGCCTTCGCCGACATCGAGCCGAATTATCCCCAGATCGTGCGGTTCGATTCCGTTCGCAAGATAGTCACGTGACCGTTAGAAAATCGCGGTTCCAGCTCTCCGTACCGTTTGCCCTACAGAGCATACGATAAAGTATACCGGATGTTTTATCGACGCGTCGTCGTCGTGGCCTCAGGGTTCGCAGCCTGGGTACCTATTCGTGGAGCATCACACAATATCCTGCAGATAGATATTCATGATACCGCAGCAGCATCGATCCTCAATTGCGCCCATACGACCATCCGCTTATTGAGCAGGAATAACAGCCACCAGGACACTCTTTAAACTCGTCTCTTGTGCCGCCGTTCTATACCAACTGTCATCGAAAGTGAAGAAGCGAATCTTCCAGCGCATGAACACAACCCCTTCGACGAGACAGCAATCTCTTTTCCGGATTCACTCGCCTGGCATGTCTTCTCATCACTCTTCTATTCAGGACCGCACTCCTGAATTCCGCTCCATCCTCGCACAGGCACAGAAATCACTCGCGCGACAGCGGAAACCAGGATCCGCGCAAGCACAGCCTCTGCTATCCTTACCAAACGGTACTAGCACACCTCCGACGCGAAAACAACGAAGCGAATTTGCGCGCAATGCAGCTGCCATCGGACGTGGTATCAGCGCGACAGTCGGCAAGCTACAACGGCTAGGAGAGCTCGCAAAGCGCAAAACACTTTTCGACGACCGGCCGGTCGAAATTGCGGAATTGACTTTCGTCATCAAGCAAGACCTTGCAGGACTGAACCAACAAATTGGTGCGCTACAGCAATTACAAAAGACGGTCAGTGGCGGCGCGAATCCGAAATCCACCACGGGCGCCGATCAGGAAGGGGAGCACAACAAAAATGTCGTGGTATTATTACAAGGCCGGCTCGCGGATGTCGGCGTGAACTTCAAAGAGGTCCTCGAAGTGCGCACAAAGAACATCCAGGCGAGCCGAAGTCGACAAGATAATTTCGTCAGCGCAGTCTCCCAGCAACAACACAATGGCATCGCCGGCGCAGCACATCTGAGCGCCTCCGCGCGAAGCGACTCTCCCTTGTACCAAACCACCACGCGAAACGGTCGTAACAGTCCCAAACCACCAGGCCATTCCTCCGACCTCCTCACCCTCGAACCGACCACATCATCGGCGCTCTACGGCGGCGGCAGCAGCGCGCAACAACAACAGCAGCTCCAACTTCTCGAAGAGGGTGCAACGAGCAACAGCTATATCAACCAGCGAGGCGAAGCGATTGAAGCGATTGAGCGGACAATCAACGAGCTTGGTGGGATTTTCGGACAACTCGCGCAGATGGTATCAGAGCAGGCAGAGCAGATCCAGCGAATCGACGCAAATACAGATGATGTGGTGGACAACGTGGAAGGCGCACAGAGGGAGCTATTACGATATTGGAGCCGAGTACAGGGCAATCGCTGGCTGATTGCGCAGATGTTTGGAGTCTTGATGGTGTTCTTTTTGATTTGGGTCTTCGTGGCGGCATGAGGTGGGGAAATTTTCATCTCTGCCTTTTCGGTGTTGGTTTCCTTTGTACTTTGGACTAGTATTGCATGGTGGATGGAGATGATCTGAACGCTGCAAGACGGCGATGATTATCTTAACATTCTGCTGTCTTTTTTGGCACGTGTGATCAACTGTTTTGCGCGTTCACATCCGAGTCATGGCATATGGCGGGTTCCTAGAGACGATGCGATTGCATTTTTTTATTTTTCTTCTACATAGAATATTCTAATTTCTGGGAGACGCTCCCATGTATATGACAATCAACAAGGCCACAATCTATACACGAAAAAGTCTGGCATCTCGTTTCCGTCGAAGGGATAGAAGGGCAACTCCCTGAACAAATCCGACTATGTCGAAAGTCCTCCCCTCAGTACTTGATAATGATTGAAACAGGGAGGCAAATATTTCTTTTCCAAATGCCGCGCACTGTTCTTTAGCTCCATACCGCATGACTTTGAAAATCATTTACCGTGATCTTCTAAGCATCTAGAATGTGCTCTCCATAATCGTTTCACGACTTCACCGAGTCGCGAAATACGCCAACCCTAAAATGACGGCGGACCTCGGCACGGAATTCCGTCCGATCTACTTCCTGTCCGTCACATGGCGATTTCACGATGCTTGGCTCGCGCGATCTAGAAGAGACTTTGCTTCTGCATCACATCTTCATACATAGCTAGATTCAGAAGAGCGACACCGACATATTTATTCGCGAAGCAAGTGCACAGAAACATCGTCCACACAAACACGAAGACCTCGGAAGAAAATGGCGCAAGCAGGCGAAGTGCTCTTCCGTCTGCCCATCGCGGCTACCAACGGCGAGATCGTGGTGACGCAACCACAGACCCAAGTCTACCTCCTCACATTCAACAGCCCGGCGGACAATCGATTGCTCCCGGTAAGTCAGATCCAGTCCGAAAAGAAAGCCATTCTAGACAGGACTCATGCTGACAATTTACATCTGCAGGATTTCTGCAATGCGTTCCGTCTTGCGCTAGACATCATCGAAGCGAAATATGAACCGGGCGTTCTTATCACCACATCCGGGATTGCCAAGTACGTCTGTTTAGTAAATTTCACAGAGGAGGGAAGGTTTACTGATTCGTTCTGGAACAATAGGTTCTACAGCAATGGCCTCGACCTCGAAACCGCAGTCAGCACCCCCAACTTCTTCAACGGCACGCTCTACGCCCTGTGGCGACGCATCCTAACCTACCCGATGCCGACCATCGCACTGCTTAACGGCCACGCCTTCGCCGGCGGCGCCATGACCGCCATGATGCACGACTACCGCTTCATGAACCCCTCCAAGGGCTTCTTCTGCCTGAATGAAGTCGAGTTGGGCGCGAATTTACAACTGCCAATGAGTTCGATTTTCCGACAAAAGTGCACACCGCAGGCCTATCGTTTGTTAGTCCTCGAAGCCGCCCGGTTGAACGGCCCTGCTGCGCTCAAGGAGGGTATTGTCGATGTCCTGGGTGATCTAAACTCAGCGTTCAAGTACATCGAGGAGCGGAAGTTGGTCGCTAAAGCTCAGCCGGGAATGAGTGGAAGGGCGGTTTTCCGCGCGCTGAAGGAAGGTATGTTCGCGGAGACGGTTGGCTATCTTGAGAATGATGGGAAGGGACAGTCCAGTCTTTTGGATGTTCCTGAGAAGGAGACCCGGGAGATTGAGTCGATTCAAGCCCGGGTGAAGCAGTGGGAGAAGCAATCTAAGCTGTAGAATATTGGATTCCTCTCGAATACGATATAGATGACTTGTATGTTCATATGTATGCCGATAAGATTCAAATACGCGATTATGCTACTTTCCATTTACATCGATGTCATCACTATCACAGAGGCGATGTGTGAACCGATGCCGTGTACCAAGGTATGCAGACAAGCCGAAGCGGACCCGGCGATAAGAATCCTTAATCCCGTGGCCATCCTCCTCCGCATTGCCGATAAGCTTACACCTCTCTAGCTCACGAATTGGTGGCGCGCCGATGTCCAAAAGACAACTCCTTGCGAGACAATAGCATTGGACAGGAATTCACCCATTGCCAGTCACTCTCGATCGATCTTGCGACGATATGTCTTCAAATAGCAGGACGTCCGAGTCTGTGAGTCCCAGTGCGGATGAGGCGAATATCTGGCAGACCGAGAGCGAGGATGCGAACGATGACGACATGGATTATGAGGTGAGTGAGCTCGTGGACATTTCTGAGTTCAAATACGATACTATGACCACGATCGAACTCGCCAAATGTCGCATTTCGCTGCTTGGTCATGGTGGTAATTTTATGCTCGTCTCTCTGATACTGATCGACGCATCTAGTTGGCGAGCGATACCATCGTCGAAGAAGAAACCGAGGAGACCGATGAAGACGAAGACGAAGAAGATCAAGATCCAAATGAAGTTACGCTCTATTATGACGCCGAAGAGGGAGTGCTGAGAACGGGGAACGGTGCGGAAGTTCGCCTCGACTCAGGAACGCAAGACGTCACGAATGCCGACGGAAACACCGAGGGCGGCAATCAGATACCTCAACCTCAGACTCAAACTCAAGCAAACCCTACTCAAAGAATCGGAAGTTCGTAATTCCAGTTGTGACCCGTATAAAAAGTCGTCTATTAATTTGCTAACAAACATCGATCTCGGACAGTCACCCCGCAACAGCTCCTCCGGTTCCTGCAACAACAATATGGCATACAGGTCAGAGGAAATGGCCGCGGTGCGGATGATGATGATGACGAAGAAGGCTTCAGCCACATCTACGGCGGCCGGCGGCCACGTCCCCGGAGAACGAGTTTCCATGGCGATCGTTATCCCCCGATTCCGTCAGAGACTGGCCGAAAGCTCATGGGCACTGGTAATTTCGGCACCAATGATCATTGTCAGCGTACGGCATGCGGTTACCAATACACAGATGACACATTGCGAAAACGGAAACGACTGGCCCGAAGGGTATTCGATCGAGAGATGGGGATTGAAAATCGAGGTCGACTACGAGCCCTCAACGGACTGATGACGCAGGATATGATTCCAAGAACCAAAGCCGATCTCATTGTGCATTTCCCTGCCAGATGTTTCTCGGGACAATTCAGTGAGGACGGCTCGTTCTTTTTCGCATGTGGACAAGATTTCAAGGTTCGGATGTATGACACATCGAACCCGTATGATTGGAAATACTACAAGACCGTCACCTACCCGGGTGGATCGTGGACTATTACGGACGCTTCTCTATCACCTGACAACAAGCTGTTAGCATACAGCAGTATCCGGAATCAGGTCTGTCTCGCCAACACTGAGCAGGGCGATACTTCAGATCCGCAGTACCTCGATTTCAGAGACACCTCGCGACGAGGCGCTTCTCTGCGCAATCATTCACATTTTGGCATTTGGAGTTTGCGATTTAGTGGTGATGGTAGTGAGATAGTTGCAGGGACTAGCGACGATAGCGTGTACGTGTACGATCTCGAATCACGCAAGACCATCTTGAGGATCCCTGGCCACGACCAAGACGTCAATGCGGTCTGCTTCGGTGACAGAATGAGTCCTCATATTCTATATTCGGGTTCGGACGACACTACGCTCAAAGTCTGGGATCGACGATCACTTGCGTCAATGCGACCTGCTGGAATGTTCCTCGGCCACACCGAAGGTTTGACGTACATCGACAGTAAGGGCGACGGTAGATATGTCATCAGTAATGGAAAGGACCAGACGTGCAAGCTGTGGGATCTACGCAAGATGATCAGCACAGACGAGGGAGAACGGATCTACACAGACGTAAGTTGTCACGTAAGCGTCATCATTTTGATAGCTTTTGCTAATCCATGAACCATTCACAGAGACCACCAGCCGAGTTCGACTACAGATATCCTCCCTACGACACGGAAAACCACATTCCCCACCCCAACGATTGCTCCCTCGTGACTTTCCGCGGTCACGCTGTCCTCAGCACGCTCATCCGCTGCCACTTCTCCCCCGCCGGCTCCACTGGCGCCCGCTACATCTACACCGGCAGCCAAGACGGCAAAGTGTACATCTACAACCTCGACGGCACACAGGCGGGAAGCCCCATCGACGTCCTCTCCGCAACCCGGAACTCCCGCCCTGTCGAATCCTCCGGTTACGGCAGCTACGGCTACAGCGACCGCAGTTCCTGGGACACCATCGTCCGCGACTGCTCCTGGCACCCCTCAGCCCCGCTCATCGCGGCCACATCTTGGAACGGCTGGGGCCACGAGTACGGAACTTGCACAGTGCACACATGGAACGACGATGTGGACGAGGATGAATTGGGCGACGTCTCGGATCCGAAGCATGCGGACGGTACCACGTTCCAGGCTGCGCCCAGCCTCGGCGCGAGTCCGAGCGGCGCGAGAGTCACGCCGCAATTGCAGTTTCATCAGAACTTTTATCGCACGCGACGGCCTACTGCCGAGGCGACGACGGGCCTGGGACGATTGACGTCGTTGTTTGCGAGGAGGCGCGCGGCGGAGCAGCAGGAAGAAGAGGAAGTGGAAGACGATGGCGATGAGGATTACGTAGATGAAGATGACATTGAGTGATTGGAATGCTTGTGTGAATGAGCGAGACCTGCGGACTACGGAGATGGCTCTTTTTATGTAGATCTTTGTACGTTATACATGAATCGGGATGGGAATCAGTGGGGTTTTACTGCCCGACTGTGATGAAGCAGCTGATGGACTCTCATGATACCGCGATCGAGAAGTGTCCATGTCTTCCGGGGTTAGAATAAATTCTAGCCGGATCTCCTTGATCGATGACAAAGAGATACTGCCTTCGCAAACTCCATACCTTCCGCAAACTATCATCTCAAGTGCTTTTGAATCCGGCCAGTCAGCCAGGGGTCTTCTCCTAGCGAGTGCGCGCATGATACCGCAGCCGATAAACCACGCGCCCTCTCTCCACCGCATCATTCTCCTCCGTAACCACCCCTGAAGCAATGCCTCGACCATGCCTCCTCGCCACGACGAATCTCGCAATTTCGGAGCTCTATGCACCACCGACGAGGAGGTTGTTGACAGGAATGTGAACTGTGCGTATCCGTCAGCTTCACTTCGCTCTACTTCCTTTCTTTCCTTCTCTCTTCTTTCTCTTCTCCTTTCTTCCATTCGCGATCCGCGCGCAATTCCCAGGAGATGGCAGAACATGAATGACCGGATGGACAGGGCGACAACGTACTCAGCTTGACAATGTATCCGATCACACCCATGATCAAAAAGCCCATTCCGACGGCCTGTGAGATGCGCAGGAATTCGCGACGGTCGGCTGGGAAAACCAAATCCATTCGTCAGTCATATTTCGCTCGATCAAGTTCCCGTTTGTCTCTCTCCTCTCCCCTCCTCTTCTGTTTGTTCTCTTCGAATGTTCCTTTCGTTGCGCGGGCGCAGAGGGAGAAGGAAAGACTCACGCTTGCTACACCTCGTGATGAAACCTTGGCCATCCTTGAGGAATTCGCGCGGCATTTCGAGGAGTTCCTTTGCTTGGTCCATTGCGGCGACGGAATGTGATGTGTATTTGTTTTGTGAAGGATTGGCGACGATTGGGTTGTTGCGTGTAACTTTATGTAGAGAATTATGGGTGATGCGATGGTTGGTGATGCGGCTGTTTGGTGTTCGATATGACTTAATTAATGTTCTGCGGCGACGTGTACAGACAGCGGCCGTCAGGGCTAATTCGCATCGCTCATCAATGGAACATTCGTCGCGGCGATTCGATTCCAGCTTGGCACAGCAGCTGATGCGGCGGTGGAAGGACCCTGAAAACACACGTGATGAAACGGTTAGGGCTGGCACTTTCTTCCCATCTGGGGGTTAGGGTTGGTCTTTGATCCGTCCGTCAATCCTCACGAGTTCAGTTTGAGGAAAAGCACGTTCGATATATCGATCAATTGATTCTGGCAACGGAGAAGCTGTTGATGAGAGTCCAAGGGAACATATGCGTTCAAGTACAAGGATTGGTCTGCTGGCATCGTCACGATCAAGTCGAGCGTTTGTCTTGCCGATATATTTTTTGCAAAGATCTCCCTCTGCGCTCCATTCACTCCACACGGACACGATGTCTCAACAAGATGCAACAAGGAAACTCAAAATATTAATGCTTCACGGTTACACACAAAATGGCGAGCTATTCTCCTTGAAAACCAAAGCACTACAAAAGAGCCTCGCGAAGCAATTCCCGCCTGCGCCGAAACCAGGCCATCTCAAGGACTTTCCCGGCGGCATAGATTTTGTATTTCCGACCGGACCGATCCATCTTGACCCAACCGACATTCCCGGATATGATGGCCACGATCCCAAGGAATCCTCCGAGGCTTACGGCTGGTGGCGGCGCAAAGGTGATGGGCAGCCCTATGTGTATCAGGGCATCGAAGAGGGTTTGGGGACGATAGCAAAAACGATGCAGTCCGAGGGACCGTTCGATGGAGTATTGGGCTTTTCACAAGGTGGTGCATTGGCAGGCATGGTCACGTCACTCTGTGAGCCTATACGGCGACAGGCTTTCGATGCCGCAGAGCAAAAGGGCGGAATGCCGTTTCCGAAGTCCTTCATATCCAACGGCTCTGGCTCTAACGACAGTCCGATCCATCCTCAACTCCGCTTTGGAGTATCATATTCAGGTTTCGCCGCGAGCAATAACCCCCTATACGAGCCCTTCTACGAGCCCAAGATGACGACGCCGGTGTGCCATTTCATCGGTAGCGTAGATACCGTCGTCTCCGAGGAACGAAGTCTGCAACTGCTCGATGGCTGCGCTGATGGGAAGGGACCTGAGGGTCAAGTCCCACGATTGATATATCATCCCGGTGGCCATTTCTTGCCGAGTGGGCAAACGTATGTGACAGCTTTGGCGGCTTTTATCAGGAATGTGCTGGAACCACCAGCGGCACGGAAGGAAGAGGAGAGCGCTGAGGACATGGATCTGCCATTCTGAGAAGGATGATGGCTGGAACTCGCGATTGGATCTTTTGACCGAAGACGAATTTGATGAGATAGACGATAGACGATTTGTATTCACATAGACACAAGACCAAACCCTCCTTTTGCTGCAGAGCATCCTTTCAAAGCACTGAGCAGAGTCGGGGGTGGTGGATGGGAAACTTGATTACGTAACCCCCGAATCGGCGCTCGAACATTTGCGGAGAAATCGTCATTGAATTGCGAGCACTTCACTACCACATCATCCACCGTCGACCAAGAAGGGCTGTCATATCAACCATCCGACACAATGGCAACTCAACTCTCCTCATCAATGCGAACCATGTCATCGCAAATCTGCCGTCAGTGCGCCACCGCGACAGCAGCAACCGCGCGGAGGACCTTCACCAGCACCACCGCGGCACAATCCAGCAAAAATGCCCTGCGAATGCGCTCCAATAATGGGTCGTCTATACTAAGCCGTACCTCAACACAACAACCTTCCCAATCAGCAACAAGGGGCCCTCTCCAACCCCGCCGAACCTACAAAACCGTCGAAGAAGCCAAATCCAAATACCGCCTCGGCGTAAGTCGCACTTGAATTCCATCGGACAAACTTACCCACGATACTAACCAACTTCTCCCTCCAGCCCTTCTCCTGGCAAGCGGGTCTCCTCTTCCTCATCGCCGGCGGCGGCCTCACACTCTACTTCCGGTACGAAAAAGCGCGCATGTCGCGGGCCCGGATCGCCGAGGCGAACAAGGGCATCGGCAAGCCGCTGGTCGGCGGATCCTTCCACCTGACGGACCACAACGGCGCGGACTTCAGCGAAGCCAACCTCAAGGGGAAATACACGCTGGTCTACTTCGGCTTCACGCATTGCCCCGACATCTGCCCCGAGGAGCTGGATAAGATGGCCGGCATGATCGACTTGGTCCGGGAGAAACATGGCGCCGGCGTCCTCAAGCCGATTTTCATCAGCTGCGATCCCGCGCGGGACACGCCGGAGGTTATGAAGTCGTATCTGAAGGAGTTCCACGAGGAGATTCTGGGCATGACGGGCACGTGGGACGAGGTCAAGGAGGTCTGCAAGGCGTACAGGGTGTATTTCTCCACGCCGAAGGATGTCAAGCCTGGACAGGATTATCTGGTGGACCACAGCATTTATTTCTACCTGATGGGTGAGTTTTTACGTTTTTTTCCAACAGCTTCTGATTTGTCGCGAAGATTTTGGATCGCTGACCTTTTTTTTCCTTTCGATCTAGACCCTGAAGGAGATTTCGTCGAAGCCATCGGTCGGAATTTCACGACCGAGGCTGCGGCGAAGGTCATCAACGATCATGTCGCGGATTGGCGAGGGAAGATCGATCGGTCATGAAGACCCCCCATGACAGAATCGTACGACGAACGATCGACAGCATCGAGACACATTTCAACTTTCCCTGCCTAGACACGAACGAAGGAAGATCCGCAAGATCATGCACAGGAACACCTGTGTCGGGTATCGATGAATTTTCTTCCATGTATAATTACATTGGGGCTTTGGACGTGTGTGTCTCGAAAGCCTGTATATCAGAGAGATATTCATAGACTTCTCTAATAGAGGATTGATTGTACATCACGAAACGCCATTTCCTCCGCCTTCGGAGTCGCGCACTGCGTCTGTCCGTAAGGGACTGCGACGACGGGTTGGTCGCCATACTTTGGCCTTGGTGAGAGGGCCAGGTGACGTTTGAACTTCGCCGTCTTTGTTCGGTCGCTGGCCATTGTGGCGGGTATGGAGGATCAGAGGGAACGATTGTTCCAGTGGCGATTGTTGGAGCGCATGCGCTCGAGCGGCGGAAGATTTCTGCTCGCCGTATATATGGTGCTGAGGGTGTCTCGTGTGAACGAGGCCGTCGCCCAGACCATTCAACGAGGCCTCCAGGGCGGACGCCGGATACTCTTCTTCCGGGGTTTCTACATTGGGATCTTTCAAATCATAATCTTCTCCGGTTCATTTTCTTTCTCCTTCCTCTCCTCCTCCTCGGTCCTGGTATCGAACCCACTCTCCGCCGAGCGTTTCGGCGGTCTGTTCGTCGCATAAATCTCCGCGATCCTGAGCTCAAAAGGCCCTTGCACACGATCCGTCAATCCAATCCCCACCGATCGAACTTTCTGCCTTAGCATCTCCTTCTGCGGCTCGACGACCATTCCGTAATTCGTCCGGACAAACGCGTGGAGAGGTATGACGACCGTCTCCCACTGGCCCGGTTTGAAGCAAGGCAGGAGATGTTGGTGGATGTCTGTGGGCACGATGGATTCCGTCTGGATGTTCACGAAGTATTTCCTCCCGTCGGATTTCACGCGGAGCGCTAGGTAGCCGTAGGGATCGATGTCGTGGAGGAGACGCCCGAACAGCCACATTCCTCGGTCGTGTGTGCGCCAGGCGGCGAAGCCGGAGCGTTGGACGTCGGGTTTGTTGGGCGGGAGAGCGGTGTTGATGGTGCCTTTGAAGAGGGCGTGTGAAGGATTGTCGGGGTCTTCCGTCGTTGTGGTTAAGTCTTTGCCGCTTTTGGGGTCGGTGGTTGTGGTGGTTGTGGTGGTTCCGGGTTGGAATGTTAGGCTGGCTTTGCTGTAGCCGCCGAAGGAAATGCTGTCGCACATGAGTTTGCATTGCGGAATCGAGTCGGGTTTGTCGAACTTGGCGAGGTAGTATGGCCTCTTGGGGACTAGGAGGCCTTCCATTTGTACGGCGATGCTGGCTTGTCGTTTGAACTCTTCTATTGATCGGGTCCAGAAGCCGGGTCGGCCTCCAGCGCGGAGGATTTGCGTTGGTTGCATGATGGGGAGGTTGATTTGGATTCCGGTAGTTTGGAATCAGGTAATATCAACCGAAGGGATAGAGTGATCTCCACTCGGAGACGGTCAAATTCCTGAGCCGGTGACGCGCAGACGGATAGAGAGCTGTGGACATTCGGCGATGATGCATTCCATGACCCCCGCGGCGAACATCGGCAGTGGTTGTTCCTTGAAGCAGTAGTCAGCGGTGGAGTGCCTCAGGCTTCAAAGACGACGCCCACACAGACACGTGAAGATCCATGGATCATGATAATAACGGGGTCCAAAGGATGCCCGAGTGCCGATTTCCAACTCTGCGGGCCGGCGGCGGCATCAACGGGAATCCTTTGACATTCCATTCCTTCTCTCTCCAGTCTCGCTCATACACACTCAGGATTTCCTTCTTCTCGATGCCGCCAGTGAGTTCGGGGATACCCTGAGTAAATTGGGCTCTATCCGGACTTTGGATCTTTCCATATCACCGTGGCACGATTGAACTGCACTATACGACATGATTTCGAGAATAATCGACGAACAATGTGAAACGAGGTAAAGTTCTCGGTCGTCGCCTCACTAGTGGCTCGGGGTGAAAGTCTAAAAGCCTGTACGATGCGAAGTCGGTACGAGCGAAGAGAAGCAGATCCCTTGCGTGTTCGAGACCCATCGATTTTCAGGACTCATAATAGTAACACATTTCAATGCCGATCCCCTTATCATTGGTGTATTGGACCTGTGTCTCCAGTGTACTGAAGATCCGTTGTTCAATGATGAAAGCATTGCTTCTTCAAAGCCTGCTGATTCACGACGATGACGTGCGGCTGTCGTAGTTGATTCATAATGATGACTTGCGGGTAATGTACATAGCTGATACATAATGATGACTTCTGGGCATCCACGGTATCGTACAAAGCTGATTCGTAACGTTAGCTTGCGGGTATCGTAATCAAGGAGTTTGGCAGATCCTGCTCCGCTCGGCGAAGACTGAAGGTGATCCTTTGGCAGACCCTGATCCGCTCGGCGAAGACCGAAATGATATGACACGCGAATGAAGGAGCGATCTGTAGGAGGTGCGCTTGATCGGCGTAAACGCCGGCGTCAGATCCATCCTTATCCTTTTACGGTATACGGGTGTACGGACATCTCGTGGAGATCGACGTTGATGCCCTTATTACCTTGGAGCCGCGTCGGATACGGCTTTGCTCCGGGTTCCGGATGATACGGTACGAGTCAATTCTTTCCGGTCCCTATCACTCCATCTACAATAATCTTCGGCATTGTAACCTTCGGTCCAATTTTGGGCCGTATAGTGTAAGGTTTCTCAGCTGAAGCGTGGTTGACTGATCAGCCATGTGGTCGGAATGGCCATGCGATTGCAATTGAGAGCTTGCAGTGACGTTTGATCTGTAAAACTGCGAAAGCCCGAAGATTGACATTTCCTCATGGATGGTGCGAAATATATAAAGTGAGGCTCGTATTGTCGATAGAATGTCCCTTTTCCGATCAGATCAAAACAAAACATTTCACACAAGTTCATCATCTGAAACACCAACTTGTCCGCTCAAGAAAGAGTCTACAATCATCACATCCAAGTACAATCCAACCAAGTCACCAACACCCCAAGTCCCGCACTGTCCCCAACTATGGCCTTCACCCTCCTCACATACCGTGCCACAAGCACTCCCTACAACCTCAACTTCTCCTACTTGGACACCGACGAAGACGTCCTCGCCCAAGCGGCCCAACTCCAGCAACGCGACCAAGACCGCCGTCTTCGCCGCGAAAGCCGTCTCAGCGCATCTCCATCCACCACCTCATCCTCAAGCAGTGACAAGCACAATAAGCGGAGAAGCTTCATGAGCTTTCTCAGCAACAAGTCCACCACCACCACCAACAAGAACACCAACCGGAGAAGCTTCACAAGCAACTACAGCGCCCTCTCCGAGACCTCTACCTCCGACCCCGCCCGTCGTCGACAGTCTCTCAGCAATCGCCTCTCGACCGGCTTTTTCAGCGCGATGGACATTTTGGCTCATCAAGACGGCCCGGCGGTATCTTTCTATCCTGCGACTCGGCGGGATGTGCCTTTTCACGGATGTCCCGCGTCGTCGTCGTCGTCGGGTGCTTCGTCTGTTTACTCGAGGGAGGGGAGTTCCCCGCACTAGGTAGCGATAGGATCATGGTGAGACATTGGATTGCTTGATGCGTATTTTAGAAGTGTGATTGAGGGGTTTGATCGGTTAGATCTGGGATAGGTTAGGAATTTAATGGCGTTCGTGGCGAGACGCTGAACGAAGGCAGAGAATGTAACGATTGAGATTTATTCACGTTCGGGTTCATTCATTGTTGCGTCGATGTTGTGTCTGCCCTCATTTGACTTGTGCAGGATGTGACTTTCGGCTTCCTCACCGAAACGGGGCATCTTGCTTTGCATTAAATTCACGTTGTTGAGTGAGTTCCATGATAGAAGAGACCCGCGATTGAACTTCTACTGTCGCAGACCACCTGGGCAGAAACTTATCATTATCGATAAAGAAATTGACGGCCTGCTTACATAATAATTCGTCATAACGTACCCTACTACCGAGCCGGTCACACTACCAAGCCGGTCAAGTTTCCGTCCAATGTGCCTTTGACGACTTATTGCAATTACAATATTATAGCTATACTAATAACGACACCAGTATTACAAAGTACAGGTTCTACAGTTATGCTCAAATGAACCACATCTACTACACCTGCTTGGTGCTTTTGTACGAGCACGTTTTGGCTGCTCAATTAGTAATGCTGAATCAATATTCTCAGCATTATTCTGCAATTGCTCCGCAACTACCTCGTTCTGAATAGACTCCTGCCCTTGCTGAACAGTCATTGATCCTCCCCGCTGGATGTATCCTTTTCGACGGGCTCGCTTCTGCTTTTGATGATTATTTT